TTATTTACGTTATTTACGTTATAAGTGGTCGTAAAATTATGACTTATGAGTAACATTTACCATTAAGTACAAATTTTGAAGTTAAAATTTCCTTTAGCTGAAATACACTTATAAGTAATTTTCTTTCGTAAAAATTACGTCCCTCATAATACCTACTTGAAAGTGTTGAAATTTAAGGGTTATTAAAATAGGTAAAAATAACATAAAAAAACTTAATTTAACAAAATATTTACAATGCTGCTTGGGATATTAAGTCCTATATTGTACATTTATTGGCAAAACTTTTCCAAATTTGGAAAAGTTTATTGGCAAAAGTTTTCCAAATTTGGAAAAGTTTTGCCAATAAATGTACAATATCCCAGTAAACATTTGTGATATCACGAAAAAGTCAAGACGTGACATGTCACAACTTGATATCCAATTGCTGGCACAGTGATTAAGTTTGTCGTTTTATGTCAGCAGTGACACGCGCGTGATCTTTTTATGTCATGACGTGACCCCGCAGGGACGAAACTTTTCATTTAAATGACATTTGTAAGAAATAAAGTCTTTTTGGTTTAAAACAATTATATTAAAATCAAATAGTTCAACAATAACAACGTATGTCTTAATTTATCGAGTGCTTCTTAAAGAGTGCCGCTTATATTTTTAAGCAACTGTGTGCTCCTCTAAAACGCTGACGAAGACCATCCAGCTTCCACGTGCCAACCTTGTGATCCTGGGTCGCACACAAAGACCGTACAGTCGGCGTAGGCTGGGATGTTTATGCTTATATATTACGAGTCAGCCAGGGAATATTTCTAACATTCGGCCATCCTAACATGCGGGATGTCCCAGACCGCCTCTTAACTACCTGTCAAAACAAACATAATAACTTCCGAAAACAATTAGACAGTGTCGGACTAAATTGTTATCTCAACTCGAAATGACTAAATTACTAATTCCGATAACAACTAAGCAGTATCGGCTTCAATTGTTATCTCACAATAAGTAGGCAGTATCGGCCTAATTATCCACTCCGATAACAAATAAGCGGTATCGGCTTCAATTGTTATCTCAGAATAAGTAGGCAGTATCGGCCTAAATATCCACTCCGACAACAATTAAGCAGTATCGGCTTCAATTGTTATCTCAGAATAAGTAGGCAGTATCGGCCTAAATATCCAATCCGACAACAATTAAGCAGTATCGGCTTCAATTGTTATCTCAGAATAAGTAGGCAGTATCGGCCTAAATATCCAATCCGACAACAATTAAGCAGTATCGGCTTCAATTGTTATCTCAGAATAAGTAGGCAGTATCGGCCTAAATATTCTCCCGACGACAAATAAGCAGTATCGGCTTAAATTGTCATCTCAATTCCGAATAAGTAGGCAGTATCGGCCTAAATATTCTCCCGACGACAAATAAGCAGTATCGGCTTAAATTGTCATCTCAATTCCGAATAAGTAGGCAGTATCGGCCTAAATATTCTCCCGACGACAAATAAGCAGTATCGGCTTAAATTGTCATCTCAATTCCGAATAAGTAGGCAGTATCGGCCTAAATATTCTCCCGACGACAAATAAGCAGTATCGGCTTAAATTGTCATCTCAATTCCGAATAAGTAGGCAGTATCGGCCTAAATATTCTCCCGACGACAAATAAGCAGTATCGGCTTAAATTGTCATCTCAATTCCGAATAAGTAGGCAGTATCGGCCTAAATATTCTCCCGACGACAAATAAGCAGTCTCGGCTTAAATTGTCATCTCAATTCCGAATAAGTAGGCAGTATCGGCCTAAATATTCTCCCGACGACAAATAAGCAGTCTCGGCTTAAATTGTCATCTCAATTCCGAATAAGTAGGCAGTCTCGGCCTAAATATTCTCCCGACAACAAATAAGTAGTATCGGCTTAAATTGTTATCTCAACCTAAAAATAAGTACATAGTATTTTAATCATCGTTAACCACTGTTTCATCTTATCAGTCGCTACTACCATACACAAGTTTTTGCCGTTAAAACTTTAATGGTCCTCTATATTTGTGGAACAACTTTTTGGTGGACCCGGTAGAAATTTCACTTATTAATACGCGTCTAAATCACCCACATTCAAAACGTGATGATTTGCGTTGACATTTATCGTAACGTTCTTTCTGCTTGAGCTGGTCATGGTTAATGCAATGTTTATTTTATCTTAATTAAACGCAGCACTAAGAACACTTTGGATTTCTTTTATGAACGGGTCGCGTATGATTCACAAAATAGACTAAATGTCTTCAACCTAATGGCACTTGCACGATCGCTGATAATTCGCGGCGGTACACCGAATATACAGTGTATTCTATACACATAATATCCTTTTTGATAAATTGTTGTTGACGGTTCCACAAAACCTAAATAGTTTTTCACAAACTTGCAACAGTACCTTGCCAACTTGAAAACTTGCCTTTTTTCTTTAACTGTCTTTGGTTTTACTCAATCTCAACTCTAGTTAGGACATTCCCTTGCACGGTGAGGTCCTCTACAATTAAAACACTTAACTTGTTTTTGCTGAGTTCCACTAGTAGTCGCTTTTTGTTCTTGAGATTCTTCTTCGTCTCTAGATGCTTTACGACCCCCGTCACTCTTAAAACTTTTTGGCATGTTGCCCAGCGAACTTAAATAAGCATACAATTCATTTGTATTATTAAAGCGCGAGGAACGAACGGATCTTGCGATGTTTTCGTCTGTTATACCTCCGATAACAGCATCTACTAAATAAACTTCAGGGATTTTAATTTTTAAAGCTCTTAGCTTGTCCAACTTGTTAAAGCAATATTCGCTAAAATTTTGATTACTTTGCGTTTCGTATGTGGCAGCATCTCTTAGCAATTTGGAAAATGGTAAAGGTTTAGTAAATTGCTTTACCAACAACTTCTTCATTTTCTTCCACTTCACCGCTAACTGCTCCTGTGAATCGTACCATCTTCGAGCCATACCCACTAATCGATTTGTCACTAATCTAATTATTGTCAAATCATTCCATTTATAACACTTAACGAGTTCATCAACACGGCGCACCCAAATTTCGATTGATTGGTCTGCCTTTTGCGGGTCAAACACGGGGATCATCTTTTCTTCTCCGTAGTTACTCGTACCGAAGAAATGTACATTACCCCTAATTGCCCGTCGCTTTTTCTGTCTCCTCGATGTCTCCTGCTCGTCATCGCTAGAACTGCTCGATGTATTCGATAAGGGACTTCTCTTGCGTCGAGCCTTTGTTTTCACTTTCTTCTGTTTCTTTTGTGGTGTAGATGGTCTAACATCGGAAGAATCGCTTAAAGATTCAGAGACAGGAACACTCATTGATGGGGACACTGGCGGAGTGGTTCCGTCGGGTTTCGACATAATAATGCAATACTTCGCAACACTTAAAACTCTTGTAGGGTTAACGTGTAGATATATCCCACTTCTGATTTGTAAGAAATAAAGTCTTTTTGGTTTAAAACAATTATATTAAAATCAAATAGTTCAACAATAACAACGTATGTCTTAATTTATCGAGTGCTTCTTAAAGAGTGCCGCTTATATTTTTAAGCAACTGTGTGCTCCTCTAAAACGCTGACGAAGACCATCCAGCTTCCACGTGCCAACCTTGTGATCCTGGGTCGCACACAAAGACCGTACAGTCGGCGTAGGCTGGGATGTTTATGCTTATATATTACGAGTCAGCCAGGGAATATTTCTAACACATTACTTTAATTTGGTCATAAAACGTTAATTACGTACCTATTATGTTATTATTGTTATACACGTTATAGGTTAATGCTTTTAAACAATTATTTCCCCAAAAATATATAACTTCACTTTATATTTGTTTGCGATTTTGCAATCGAAGAAAAAATTAAATTCGTTTCCGTTTTATTTTTAATCTATAAATAATAATAAACTTAAAAAAAGCAGTATATACTATAATCTAATATAATATATGATATCATAATCAAAAATTTTATTTTAAATAACTATTTGGGATGTTTCAGCGCCGCCTCTGGATTAACTAAATTTAATTTACATTAAATTAAGCCCTTTGCCTACTACTAAAAACCTAAAAGGTTTTATCAAATTCGCCCAAAAAATAAATATTTTTTTTAATAACTTTACCACCGGGCCCTGCCTCTCGAAAACGAAGCTTTAAAACATAAATACTTTTCTTCTGATATTTTCGATTTCTATAGATCACTAATTTTTCCCAATTAAAATCTGCGACACCCTGGATACATGTAGGTATTATACTTATAGGATACTTGATGCACCCTGTAAAAAGGTAGTGTGCAAAACTTGTCTTATTATTATTTTATTTAAATAAATGTTGACTGTTAATATTTTAGCCCATAATTTTATTTCACCCAAGGCCGCAAGTTTGTTGAAGCTGTGATATACGATAAGAGGGTCGTCGCTATTGTTACTAGCGATGCAACGTGTTTTAAAAGACGTTGCATCGCAATTAACGATAGCGACGACGCTTTTTTCGTTTATCAGAGCTCCAACATGTTTTAAATATTCCCCTGCACTTTCGCTCGCGCATGCGCGCTAGCAATGTCACGGAGTGATATCCCATTGAGTGCGTATTGCGCTTGAATGTCACGACTTGATATCCCATTGATTGTGCATTGTGGAAACATATGAATGCGTCAGTGATATCACGATGTCAAGACGAGATTTCGGAGTGATTTCAATACGCAATCACAAATGTTTACTGGGATAGGACTTAATATCCCAAGCACCTTAAGGTGAAAGGGCAATTCTTGTTATGTGACAAAAATGTGATGTAGAATACCAACAAATACCAATTTTCGACGATTATTAAAATAAGTCTTAAAAGCAATATTTAATATTTTTTAACTAGTATTAACCGTGAGACAACAAACATAAAAAATATTTGACATTACCACCTGTTAAATTTACGATACTTGTTCTCTCATGACATTGTATAGGTACGCAGAATCATATTTTAAATATTTAATACAAGAATTCTTACCTTAATACATAGGCATCAATTTGGTCGTTTTTGGCAAAACTGATAATTTCGCATCTCACTATTTTTAGCAGGGACTCCAAGTTGTGTCTGCAACGAAAACAACAAAACATTACGTTGGTGCAACGGCCAAATTACATAATATTTTGAAGCGGTGGGTGCGAATTGAAACATAAACAAACCAAAGCGAAAAAATTTCCACTTTACACAGCTGACGGCTCGAATACATTGGATTGTACCGCACTATTTACGTGTCTAATAGGAAATCGATTTGGGCTCGCGAAGTCACATTCTAACGCGCCGTTGGCGATTGTTTAAACAAACGCCAAACTGACCTTGGTATTTTGCGTAGATCCGCTGTCTTGGCGTTGCCGTCGCCGGTCGTGAACCAGATTTCCAGGAGCTTTTCGACACCCTCGAAGAACTGCTCGCCGTCGCTCATGTTCACTTCAGTCGCGGCCATACCTTCTCCTTCGCTCGCACGAAATTAAATGGGAAAAATTCAATCGCGAGTCAATCGCCGGTCTCGCGGCGTGCGCGCGCATCTCCCTCCAAAATGTGCCGAAATTTTGTTGTTTTGTTTTGCCGCCCCATCTCGCGTGTGAGCGGTAATCAAACGTCGATATGGGACGCCCTGGTTTTTTGTAATTTCAACATAAAAAATCACTATCACGATAAATCTATAGATTTACATACGTATGTCCTATATATAGGATTAAGGTTAGGTTTTCAAAATACCAGTAATTTACGAATTTATGTTTTAGAGTTTTGCAATTTGGGTTAAAATTGCATTGATATTTTCTTTGTTTTGTTTTTTTTATTTATAATGGTTTAGTAGGGCTATCGGCCATTTTAAAAAAGGACATCTTATGGTTGATAATATCACCAACTATCTAAAAGCAAAAAGTTCTGTAAAAATTATTATAGATCCGTTGAGTGAAGAACCTAATCAATGATAGATCTACATACCTATGTTGTAGATAAACACATTTTGACTTCAACAGGTAGGCAACCAACATCACAACCGAACGCGTACTTTTTCCAAGTTTTCCAAGTAGCATTTTAAGTAAAAGCGTTAATGTTACTTAATTTAAGTAAATATTTTGTTAAATTAACTTTAAAAATTTACTATGAAGTATAACTTTTTTTAAAGTTATTTAAGTTTTATTTATGTTATTTTTACCTATTTTAATAACCCTTAAGTTTTAAAGGATTATGAGGGACGTAATTTTTACGAAAGAAAATTATTTATAAGTGTATTTCACCTAAAGGAAATTTTAACGTCAAAATTTTTACTTAATGGTAAATGTTACTCATAATGTTAGTCATAATTTTACGATATTAAGACCACTTTATAACCGTAAATAATTTCAGGTAGCCATAATGAGTTTTTTAAGATGGCATCCATTACTTATCTAAACATTTATATATTTTTTTAATATAAGTAATAAGTTTTAGTTATTAAAAAATGATTACAACTAAATGATTTTTAAAAGATTTAATAAAATTTTGGAGGTTTTATGTTTTGTTGAATTTTTACCCAAGCAATAATTTTTCTTAAAACCGTAAAATATTTAGAGGGCATAAAATTTTTAAGATAAAGAAGTATCGTGCCTATTTTTATCAATGAAATAATGTGCGTTTGAGTTTTAATGCAAAATATTATTATTTTTGACAATTTAAGTCATATTTTTTAATTTTACTCTAGGGTGGCCTTTATTACTTTGAAGTACCATTTTGTAAAATATAAATTAAAAGAACAAAGAAATTACGTATGTCAATGTTTTAGAAAGAGAGAGCAAACAGTTAGTAATTATGGAGTTATTTTTACGTAAATTTGTGGTATTTATATTGTTTTAAATAAATAAATTTATTGCGTTATTTTCTTAGTAGATCAAAAAGGTTATTATGTAGGTAAAATAACGAAATAAACCATTCCCAAAATTTGGTAATTTTTCGTATCTATATCGTTATAAAACCGCTACAATGTTTAAAGAATATAAATTTTATTTACTTGGTGTAAAATTGCCAATATTAAACATAATTATCACAAAAAATCGCAACATTTTTATTTAATTGACAAAGTTATAAACAAATTATAGTAGCGATACTTCTCACCGCTGCTTGCGCACGAGCGCTAGGTACATATACCGAAGGCAACAAATATTCAGATGGAGATGTGATGGCGCAGCAGCTGCTGAACATTGATGTTAAATCAAATCAAATTCATATATTTGTATGTGATTTGATTTGATTTGAACATTGATGTTTCTAGATGGGGGATCTACAGGATTCTTAAATAACTCGTTCATAGACATCCTCAAAAGTAACAGCTATATTCTGGATATAGACGGAAATTTGGTGGATATCCATGGGATATCTAATGGTTGTCTCAGACAACTTGTCTGGGACCTTATTTAAGAAATTATTGTCGCAATGCAACATTTCTTTATAAGGTGTCGCCATGGTGATTTCGGACGTGTTTATTAAAATTCCCACTGTGTATGTAAGTTTTCTGGCAATGATTGCATTTGTAACGATGACCGTCGTGCACTTCGTCAATGTGCGCGAGTCTACTTTTCCTGGTGGAAAATTTTTCGTCGCACAGTGGACATTTGTATTCTTTTTTCAGCGCAGCATGTTTGATTTGAAGGTGGCCATACAAGCCTCTCCTTTCGGTGTACATTTTTGGGCAATGCGGGCAAGGGAACTTAAAACCTTCGTGTGTTGACTTAATGTGCGTGTTTAAATATCCCACCGATGCGAAGGTTTTGTCGCACTGTGCGCACTCGTATTTTTTTCTTTGCACGGGATCGCCGTGTTGGCTCTGAACGTGTTGTTGTAAAATACTTCTTGTAGAGTACGTTTTCGGGCAATGTGGACACGTGTACTTAAAACCTTTGTGTTTTAATTTAACATGTTGGGTTAGAAGGTCCTTTTCCATAAAATTTCTCTCGCATTGTGCACATTGGTAATCTTTTTTCTGCGGAGAATGGCCGTTTAGGGTTTTCAAGTGCTGTCTTAAGCCGCATTTAGTAGTAAAAGTTTTAGGGCAATGCGGGCAATTGATCTTGAAGCCCTCGTGTTTTGACCTTATGTGATCGTTTTTTGTTCCCAAATGCGAGAATATTTTCTCGCAATGCGGACACGTGTATTTTTTTCTGTCTGTCAAGTCGCCGTGTTGGCTTTCAATGTGCTGTTTTAAATTATGTCTTGCCGTGTATAATTTTTGGCAATGCGGGCAACGGTTTTTGTCGTCGTCGCCTTTTAATGCTTCCCTAAAACAAAACAAACTCAAAAATTACAGAAATATTATTATCTATCTATCTAAGTCTAAAACCTATCCTCCGTGACTGTTACTCTTTCTAGGTTAACCTATATGTTTTCAAATATCTGAGGTAGTAAAAGCATACTAAAAATATCAGTTCACTAAGTAAATTAAACACATCCAAAGCAATCGAATCAAATATAAAATATTATTAAAAATTGAAAGAAATAATTTTTATTACTATTTAGGTAGGTGTTACAAAAACTAATTCTATCCTCCGTGAATCTGTTTTCAACGAATGGCGCTTTAATCACTTTAAATAAGGAAAAACCTCTGTTTACGACATTATAGATGCATGTGATTCCTGAAGGTCAGTTAGAATTTATATGCAGATGAGAGTGTTGCTGTTTTATAATTCAAAAGTTTAAGTTCATTAATTTGCTATTTAAAAACCTATCCACCGTGAAGTGTAAGTAGATTTTTTTAATAAAATATGAAAAAACACACGAAATCCTAACCTCCGTGAAGCTATCTTCCGTGAACTTCTAATATTCAAAATGTATGATTTCTTAAAATTCTTGCATTTGTGCAGAACCACTTACATACATAACCACAAATTCATTCATTCAATTGTTTTAGCGAGAATTAGTTTAAATGGTAAAGTTCTCAAGGTAAGTTTGACAGATTTCAATGAATTGGAGTTAAAGGTTCATAACGAATAAAAGAATTTTAGATGTTTATTTATATATTTAAATCACTCACCCTGATTCATCTTCATCATCAGTTTTAACCTTATGATATTCCACTTCAGTTTTTGTCTCCAAAATGACTTCATTATGTAGGTAGTTTTTTTCATCTTCAGAAAAGTCACTATCCATTATTTCTTCCTTTATTTCTTCCTTAATATTGCATAATATTTTTTCACTTTCTTCTACAAGATCAGGTTTGTCCCTTTCTTCTACACTTTCATTGATTTTGGATCTAAAATTATATTTAAATTTGTTTGTGGAAAAAATACCAGAGGAATGACTTACCCTAAATCATCTTCATCCTCATATTTAACCTTATGATAATCCATTAAAAATTTTGTCTCAAAAATGGCTTCATTATATGGGGAATATTTTTCATCTTCAAAGTCACTATCCATTTTTTCTTCCTTAATATTGCATAATATTTTTTTAGTTTCATCCCCAGGATCAGATTCGTGTTTTCCTTCAACACAATCATTGATTTTAGATCTAAAATTATATTTAAATATATTTGTGGCAGTTATAACTGCCATAAGAAGAAATACCAGAGGAATGATATTTCTTCTTATAGATTCCAAGCTCATAGGTAGATATTTTACATTAATCATGGTATAAATTAAAAATCTAAAATACTTACTCAACCTTACAATAGTGTCTACATTTTTCATTATTATTTCCTTCAAAATTTTTTGGTTCAACAGAATTTTGTATTCTTCCAAAGGTTATTAAACTGTCTAAAAGTGATGGGTTTTCCTTTTCTACATCTTTAGAGTGTATAAGGTTAATATTCTCTTTAGTGTCCAACTCATCAAGTAATTGTACCTTGTTCTCTTCCATAAGATTATTTACTGTAAAAAAATTAAATTATTAATGGTTATTAATTGCAGCCAACAATTCAACATAACTCTGCTTATTGTAGTACAATAATTGTACAATAATAATTATTGTACTAGTATAGTTAAGTGTAGCAACATTATAACCTCAAAATTTGGAAGAAAAAAATACATATTTAATAATAATACAATACATTACACGATTTAGTATCCATAACATATATCCAAATCCACTAATAGTAACTGTTTTATAAAAGTTAAAATACGCAAGCCAGAGAGCAAGCATAATAATATTGCATTGTTTACTAATTTGACGTTTCTTAAACCAAGTGACAGTTTTCTACTATTCCACTGCGTGAAAAACAGCGAAGGCAACCAACATCACACCACACTTCGTGTACTGGGTTGCATACGAAGTTAAAGAGAACGTCTAATTTATAGCTGTGTACTTGCATAAATATTTTAGCGAGTGTGGTTGAATAAATAAATTTAAGTTTCTGTGAAATAGCCGGCAATAGTTTTTGCTAATAAATTTTGAGAGAGTGCGGGATATTTTTTGTGTAGGTAATTCTTGAAATCTTAAATTATAAGTGTTAAATTTAGATTTTCTTTGTAGCTAATAATATTTATGTTTTTTATGTAAACATTTATGATTAAAGGTGATTTTTTGGTTGATTGGATTTTTTATTATGATATTTTTAGTTAAAGAATAAAGAAATAAATCTCATTTAAAAATTATAAAACCCTGTAGGTACATTGTACCTATTACAAATCTTTAAAATAAGATAATTTATAGACAAAAAAAATTTAATGTGCAATATATGAATGTTTTTAATACTTTTAACACCCCTAACATGGTAAAACCCTGTATATTTCCTCAAAAATTCTTAAAAATGGCCTCTAAATACCGTTGAAATCTCTCCATTTCCAAATTAAAACTACCCCTTTATCTTCTCGATTTTCTGCGGTCCTGATCTAAAAGCTGCAGCTGGGGTGTTGAAACCAAGCCTTAGATTCCAAGGGATGTGGCATGGGGGTGGCCAGCGGCGTCTGCCCCGCCCCTTCAACCCCTAAATCGTTTGCCGGCCAAACAACAAACAGATATTTTCGGGATTGTGCGCCTTGGAGAATTTTCGGACTTTTTTCATTGTTGGATCTTGACTTTACTTTTTGTTTATCAAAGGGCAGGTAGGTTTTGTTACAAGAGGTATTTTCGAGGCGTATACGAGGTGTCAAAGGAGCTATTGTTGAGTTTTACAATGATTTTATTATTGATGTACAATAACCCCTTAAACGGGTTAAAATATATATGTACATTGTATTGTAGTTTCTGAGCGTTTTTTAACAGTTTAAACAAGTAATAAAAACTATATTTGGTTTCTTGGTTATAATGTAGGTTTTCTCGAGATTTACTCGTACAGTAAAGGGCTTTAGATTTGTTTTCTGTAATCCTTTTGCGAATGACCAAATGTTCTTGTGATTTTAAGGGTTGGTTTTGGGATAAATGTAAAATCTGTGTTGATTTAATCTAAGGGGAGAGTTAAGACTTAAAAATAAACTTTCTATCTATGCTTGCAAAATGGTTTTGCTACTCCTCACAGGGTAGATAATAGAAAACAACATTGTTTTTAAAGTTAGATAAGTTTGTTGTTTGTGTAAGCATTTTGACGATTTTTATGTGGAAATATGTACCTACATGGTTTTCCGATAATCGCGAACCAATGCCATAAGTACGACGAGTTTTTTATTTATCAGAACTCTGAAGAAGCTGTTGAAATTTCGAGGTTGGAATCTTTTTAAATTGGATTACTTTTCTATGGAATAACAAACTCTCAATCAGTCGGAATTAAAAATATCATATTCAATTCAAAATATATGCTCATTTAATAAAATAAAAATAAAATTGAATTAAAAATATATCCTATGATAATATCATAATGATTAGACTGGGCCAAAAAAATCAACTATTTTTTTTTTGGAAGTATATCAAAAATATTGTTTGGGGTGACAAAAAAAATGATGGTGAAAGTTTGAGTCCATAATATTAATATTAAGAGGTCTATCATCGCAATTTTAGATTTTTTTTCCTGAGCGAGTTTTTGTCTCAGAACTCCCAAATCATTGAGTTTGACAAAATTGACTTGGGAATATTTTTTGAAGAAAATTGAATGCTCTAGGTTGGATTGGAATTTTCCGTCAGATGAACCGTTTTCTTACAATCATGCCTTAAAAATTGGTATACTTTTACAATTTGATCTTTTAACTTTGGAATTTTGTAATTCAAGTAAAAATCAGTACCCTGAAAAAAAAACGATAAATATTCTTATGGGAAATCAAATGCTTTACAAAAAAGGTCTTTTAACATTTTTGGCTAAATTCACTCCATCAAAAGATATTCAAGGCTAAATTTGAAGTCAAAACGAAATTTTAACCTTGAATAACTTTTGATTGAGTGAATTTAGCCAAAAATGTTAAGAGGCTTTTCCCATAAGAATATTTATCGGTTTTTTTTATGGGTACCTACTGATTTTTACATGAATTACAAAATTCCAATTTAAAAGATCAAAATGTAAAACTATACCAATTTTTAAGGCAGTATTTAAGAAAACGGTTCATCTGACGGAAAATTTCACTTTAACCTTTTTTGTAGAGCATTTAATTTTCTTAAAAAAATATCTTTAAGTCAATTTTGTTAAACTTAATGGTTTGGTAGTTCTGAGCCTAAAACTTGCTGAGGAAAAAAAAATTAAAATTGCGATGATAGACCTCTTAATATTTATATTATGGACTCAAACTTTTACAATAATTTTTTTTGTCACCTCAAACCAAATTTTCGATATACCTACTTTTCAAAAAAAAATAGTTGATTTTTTTGGCCCAGTCTATACATACAGTCTGTACATATATGATATAATGATATAATATATAATATCATAATGATAGGTATTTTTAAAACATTTAAAAATAGCAAAAAAAAATCAAATATGAGAAGCAAATATTTTAGGTAGGTATTACATAAAATTAATTCCTGACTAAAAAATAAAACAGCTAAGACCCCGAATATCTACTAGATATGATTGTTTGCACTTTGTTTTAAAACTACTAATTAAATTATGGTTTTTTCTTAACAAACGCTAATAAAAAGTAAATGAGGCTTTTAAATTTTAAAAGCCATTGTACAATTCTGTTAATCATCGATAATTGTAATAAAAAATACCATTAAACAATCTATTTATTTATTAGTATAAAAACAATTAATTTTTCAAAAATCTTAAAACTCATATTTCAAAACATTTTTAACTCTGTGACATTTTTCCGCAATTTCATTGGTCCGTTCGAATCATGGCCCTCCTTCCGAGTTCTTGTTGCATAGCGGAGGTGCATCTTAGCAGGCCAGTCTTAACCCGCGCTCGCCGCAATCAACTGGGCCGTGCGAAGGCAACTTTGATCAACGCGAAAAACGCGCGCTTCGATTTTGCAAAAAATTGTTTTGCTTTTTTTAATTTGTTGGTGCGTGGGGTTTGGAGGTTGGATATGCGATTTAAATAATTTGTAAGTACGAATGCTTGTTTTACATTTTTTTCATCAAAAACGTACTTAATTTTTATTCATTCTATAATAATTTTCGGTAAAATTAGATTTAAAATATTTATTTTAAAATGATAAATTAATAAACAAAAGCACGTGCAATGCATTTTTTAAATTTCTTAAAATAGTTAAAATATTTGTTCAAGTAGGCGTTATTTTAAATTAAATCAGTGTTGAAATTCCTACAAAAATATATTACTTTAACATTTTTTATTTCTTTTTTTAAATACTTATATCGAGTTACAGCACACAAATAAGTCAATGAGTTAACACCTGTTAACAACTGTTAACATCACTAAAAAGAGCGTAATTTTAAAAAGCTGGGCGCCAAAATATTCAAAAATACACTTTATACGAGCGACTATATCTCAGTCTTTACTAAACCAAAACAAGGTTGAAAAAGTTAAGAAAATTGAGAAATTACACCATACAATCTGGAAAATCTAATGTTATTAAATTAAGGCTATTTTTAAATCTAATCAAAATCTGTTGAACGTTTTATGAGTACTAAAACATTTTTCCGTAATTAAGTTAATCTTTCAAGTGTTACAGCAGGTATTTATTTATGTTTATATGTTTATTATACGAGTTACCAACTAAAAAAACCGACTTGTTCCATTACGTATATGTATATTAACCTATAAAAAGCGATGGTGGTGATACAAGTTTTACGTATAGCTGTTTTTGAGATGTTTAATATTTTTTCGAAAAGAGCGTGTTTTACTTAGTATACCCTGTAATTTTCACTATAATCGTACGAAAATTTAGTATGTCTTAAAGTATGGCACGGGATTTGCATAACACCCAGTATAACTTTTTTATTTGTGGGTCGATTTTGATGAAAAAAATTGCAGTAATATCAAAAATTTGTAAAATTTTCGATTTTGAAACAAAAAAAAATTTCAGATGTCAAACTTTGATTTGAATGTCAAGGTGGCGAAAAAGGTGGTTTTGTCGCCTTTTGGTGACTTACGTGGCCACTATTTTTGCCGTTGGCAGCCAAGAAATCACCAATTTCGTGGCCACGAACTTTTTGCAAGATGGTGAGATGGAAACCAGGATCTACTTCGATGGTGTTACTGCGAAAGAAACCGTTTCAAAAGGGTATGTATATAAATAAACATTTTATTCAAGTGTTTAACATTACACTGCAGGTTTTTCCTATAAGTAAATTAATTCAAAATAGTGTTTATTTGACCTAACACCCTTCCCAAAACATCGGGTTGTTAACTATAATAAAAATTTAAATCACGTCGTTGAGACGGGCCTTAAGTAAACAAAAACCTATAGGGTGCTGTGCCTACTAAACTCTATGATAATTATGACTATTTTTTATAATTCCTTACAGATGTAAAAATGTATATATCAGGTAGTTTTAACAGGGTTGTAAATTACTTTAACTTATCAACACAGATGCTAAACAATAAACCTTTTTATAATATGGTAGATATCTGTTGTGGCGCTTAAATAAGCTTTTTTGGAATTCCCACAAAAGTTGAATTAAAAAATTGGGATTTCAGCAATACGCTAAAGAAGTATCGCTAGTAGCGCACCACTTTTAATAATCAGCTGTCAAACGCTTATGTTACAAACGAGTGGTTTTGAGAATAAAGCCGGAAAATGTTAAAAAATATCGAAAAAAAAAACAGTTTCACGATTTGTTGTTTGTTGGGTGTATTTCGAGAGGAAATTCTGGGTTTAGTTTTTACCGGTTTTCCAAAAAATTTCATACAGTCTCTGTAAATATAAATTGTATCTATTATAATATAATAGATACAATTTATATATTATACAATAAATACACATTTTAGTAATGATTAACGTGAAAAGTGTAAATATTTCAATTCAGTAAAAATCGTCAAACAAATACCTAAGTCGTCTAAATTTAAAACAGCATTTAGCATTATTAAAAGCGTCGATTAAGAAAGTCTCCACTCAACGGTAAAATACCATTATATTATGTATTATATTTAATTTTATGTTGCCATGAATTCGTAGGTATATTTGGTTGTTTAAAATGCAGTTGTCGGCGTTTTTTAGAGAACTCAATTATAAAAGTGGTTGATTTTAAGGTTATGTTTGTGCAAAAATTATTTTTTACTAATTTCTTAAAAATGTCCAAACTTAAATATAAATTATATTAGGTAAAGTTATCATTAGTTAATTCTGCACCAACAAATGCACTTACCGAATTGGATCCTTTGGCAGAACATGAAAATGCAACGATTTAGTTCTTGAATTTTGTTTACAATTAAAAACACAATAATTCACCATGATCCTTTAGATAAAATACACACACTAACGTAACTATATAAGCATTTAAGCGTTGAGTTTCTTAATCAATGATATAAAGAATAATCAATCAAAATCGAGTAGGTACTAAAAAAGTTTTTCAATTTTTCCTTGCAACGTAAAACACAAATAAAGTGCGCGATTTAGCTGTGCAATTGAAGAAAATTTGTCGAGTAAGACTTCTGCCTTCCTCTCTTTTGTAAAAAACTACCTATTATTTAAAAATGATGTATACTCTGTGCTTTAAATGTATTCTTGACAATTCTTAAATTCACGCAATGCCATCGAAGCCCACCAGATGGCGCGCGCGTCACGAAAACCCGAAACTTCTTTAGCGTGCATGCACATTTTTTTGAAATTTATTGGATTTTTTTTAACTTGTCAAGTTATAATGTTTTTGGGGAAACACTCAACATCATAAAAAACGATTAAATGAATAATAAAATGTGGCTCAAACAGAACATTTTCTCGTGAAAATCAAATGTCATTAATATCGCCTCAGAGAAAGGACATTCGAACAATTGCTTACTGAGTTGTGAAAAATCAATGTAACATAGACAATAATATTTCTTTTGGGCTGCGGTATAGTCAATTCCCTTTTATCACATTAATTCTGTATCAACGAATTATTTCGATGTTATTAATTATAAGATACCTACCTACAACGATTATTAAAACGTCTTGCCTTAATTTAAAATTATAAGAATGTTATGTAAGATTTTTTTTTAACAAAAATGTCATTATTTTATTAATTTGTAAAACTGTAATATTAATAAGTCACTTAGGAGTGTTTGATGTATGCCGTATTTGATGCATAACACCCCATGGGTTACAGACACTTTGAAAAAACCTTGTCCTTAGACATAAAATCCTTTGAAAGCAGTGACGCTCCTTGTTCGTCGATTTGTAAGTAATTCAATTTTGACTACACATTATTTTTCCCTTTATGCAATTGAAACGTTAATGCATGACAGATTAAATGTATATTGATAGGTTAAATTGAATTATTCTTTGTATGGTGATATATTAGAGCATTTGGGGCTTCCAAATAAACAGGGGTAAAGGCCAAAAATTCCGAAGAAGAAGAGGAAACAGTTTCAAAAATTTGCAATTTACAACTTCTTTATTTATTACCCAATTTTCTTGAAGTTTGTGCAGTTTTACTATAAGTTTACAGTTTTATGTTTATTACGCTGTGTTATGTAAGTTTATATACCTATGTTTTCATTTTGCTAGTTGCACCTTTGCAGGAGTTAAATAGAATATGTACCGAACAAAACAAGTTTGACGCCTACCAACCTAGCGATTTTTTTAGAAACCCATTCCAGTTTATAAAACTGTTTCGTATTTTAATTATATTAAGAACACCCTGTATTATTAAATACCTTTCATCATTACAATCGGAGTTGATTTTATGATTTTAGGTTAAACAAATCATACACCTACATTGAGAATTCCATTGTGTATAGATCTATCGTCTAGGTACTACAATATCTGTTGACTTAAGCAAGATTGAGAACTGTCTAAACATAGGTACTTCTAATGAGGGATTTTCTTGTGTGAATCTGCCATGGAGTATGAAAAATTATTAACAAGTGTTTCTTAGTTTCTGGACTTGAATGGGGTAGTTAAATTTTTTCTGACCTATACTTTTTATGGTTTTATTCAAGGCGTTTTGTAATATTAAACATTTCTGTGAAATCAGAATTTCAATTGAGTTTACCGTTTTCGAGATATTTACAAAAAATATAAATTTTTATGACGTCACAAACCTCGCTATGTGACCAACATTCTAAGTTGAAAATTACCCTGTTGTCAAGTTGTCTTGTTAATGATTTCATTCGGTTATGTCAGAAAATACCCGAAGAGGTTATGTACAAATACTGTCACCATTGAGTTACTCAATGCTGTCACTGTCAGTTGAGTGAAAGATGATCACCAAATTCATTAAGTACCTATCTTCCTTATTACGAGGTATCATACTACTGTTTGATATTTTAGAGTCCAAGATATATCTAAAAGAATATAAAGAACTAGGCATTATACTAATGAAATACATTTACGACAAAATATGATTATAATTATAGGTAGGTACTTACTTTATTTGTTTAAAAGCTCCAATGTTCAATGTAACCAACCATTCCACAAGATTCCTCTGCTTTGGAGTCCGTTATTAATAAATCACTTATCTAATATTAATTACAAATAACATAACAATAACATTGATTTTCAATAATCTAAATTTAAAAAAAATATAACCCGAAAAAAAGAAACGTCAAAAAATCAATTCTTCTTCTTCTTCTTATAGATCAAGTGGTTTTAAAACTAAAATATTATAACGTGGCGCCATCTATCGTAAGAATCTTTAACTAAACACACTGGCAACCATAGAAAAAGCTGGCAACATTGTCAATAGCCTAGTGACGTAATTAGGAGATTTTTTTTTGTAAATATCTCGAAAACGGTAAACTCAATTGAAATTCCGATTTCACAGAAATGTTTAAAATTACAAAACGCCTTGAATAAAACCATAAAAAGTATAGGTAAGAAAAAATTTAACTACCCCATTTCCCCTTTGAATTTGAATGTCAATGTTAGGTAAATATCGGCGAAAAATCTCGACAGATTTCGCCTTGTTGTTTGACAGTCGAACTTCGGCTACGGCAGTCAAGTGGCACAAGGGCGGCTATGAGAGGGTGAAGAGGGGAATACAGACCGCAACTACTTAATACAAAGCCTCTTGATACGGAGCTCTTGCCTTTTCCCTTCTCTGCATTGTGCTTTTTTTATTGCCTCCCACACTTTCAGCTCGACCTAATAGTTTTTCATATTTGTCCCGGCATTTTTTTATTAAATCTTAAAATTATTAATTAATTTAACAAAAAAAATTCAAAAATATATTCGAATGTTTCCAACATTAACATAGACGGTGTGGATCACGTGATGTTCTTACATCTCGCCTATGTTGGCTTACTTGAGTAGTATATAAGCTCAGGTAGTATTTTGTTTTGCTGTGTTCCACTTCACCAAATTGCCCGACACTGATGAGACCCGATATAGGTCGAAACAGCTGTCTGTCGGTATTTGAAGTTGGTGGAAACAAAAACTCTGGCAAGGTTCAATTCTTTCTTATGAATATTACCAAAAAAGTTTCTTGAAGAAACTAAGAAAATTGAATGTTTATTCTTAGCTAGTTAACATTCTTAAGACATAAATAGCTAGATTAAATTGACATTCTTAAAACAGTTATGGCTGGTTTAACTTTAAATTCTTAAGACAGTTTTAGATAGCTTCTTGACATTCTTAAGATTGTAATAGCTATCTTATTGATATTTTTAAGAGACTTTAAATTTAAATTGATAGTCTTAAGATAGTTATACCTATCTTGTTACATTCTTATGACAGTTATAGCTAGTTTAAATTGACATTCTTAAAACAGTTATAGCTAGTTTAAATTTACATTTATAAGACAGCTATGGCTCTAGCTTCTTTGATATTCTTATAGTTAAGGACTCGGTTATAGATATACAGCTATATATAGCTTTCTTGTTAACATTCTTAATACAGTTATGGCTAGCTTTTTAACATTCTTAAGATACTTATACTGCCCTGCTAAGCAAGACTACCGTATCTAGAATATTAAGTAATAAAGGAAAAAAAATCATTTTAATTGTTAAAAACATTCTTTTGTCCTTTATTACGTAAAAGTACTTAATATTGTAGATACGGCAGTTTTGCTTAGCAGGGCAGTATAGCCATATTGTTGACATTCTTAAAACCGTTATAGCTAGTTTAAATTTACATTTTTAAGTCATATTCTTAAAATAGTATAGCTATCTTTTTGACATTCTTAAGGCAGTTATAGCTAGTTAAAATTTAAATTCTTAAGACATGGTTTAGCTTTTTGACATTCTTAATATAGCTATAGCTATCTTGTTATAGCTAGTTTAAATTTACATTCTTAAGACAGTTATGCCTAGCTTTTTAACATTCTTAAGATATTATAGCCATCTTGTTGACATTCTTAAAACCGTTATAGCTAGTTTAAATTTACATATTTAAGTCAGCTATGCCTAGGTTCTTGATATTCTTAAGATATTATAGCTATCTTGTTGACATTCTTAAGGCAGTTATAGCTAGTTTAAATTTACATTTTTAAGACAGTTATGGTTAGCTTTTTGACATTCTTAATATAACTATAGCTATCTTGTTGACATTCTTAAGACAGTTATAGCTAGTTTAAATTTACATTTTTAAGTCAGCTATGGCTAGCTTTTTGATATTCTTAAGATAGTTATAGCTATCTTATTGTCATTCCTAAGGCAGTTTTAGCTAGTTTAAATTTACATTCTTAAGGCAATTATGGCTAGCTTTTTAACATTCTTAAGATACTTATAGCCATATTTTTCACATTGTTAAAATCGTTATAGCTAGTTTAAATTTACATTTTTAAGTCAGCTATGGCTAGTTTCGTGATATTCTAAGATAGTTATAGCTATCTTGTTTACATTTTTAAGGCAGTTATAGCTAGTTTAAATTTACATTATTAAGACAGTTATGGCTAGCTTTTTGAAATTCTTAATATAGCTATATTAATCTTGTTGACATTCTTAAAACCGTTATAGCTAGTTTAAATTGACATTCTTAAGACAGTTATAGCTAGCTTTTTGACATTCTTAATATAGCTATAGCTATCTTGTTGACATTCTTAAAACCGTTATAGCTGGTTTAAATTTACATTCTTAAGACAGTTATGGCTAGCTTTTTAACATTCTTAAGATAGCTATAGTTATTTTGTTGACATTTTTAAAATTGTCATAGCTGGTTTAAATTGACATTCTTAAGACAGTTATAGCTAGCTTTTTGACATTCTTAAGATAGTTATAGCTATTAAAAATTTTGAAAAAATAAAAAGTATAACCCACAAATTTTATTTAAATCCAACGACATCTAAAAAACTTATCTTTTTAAGTTCAGTAAAAATAAGACATTCGTATGATGATGAAAGTGTCGGTAACTATACCTATTTAAATTATCCAAGTTATTTTAATTGAAACTGTTAAATTTAATTGAAGCTCTGGATAAAATATCACACCGTTTTTTAATAAATCACCCTCTATCACACAGTCAATTAATTTTAATTGTAGTACACAACGTTTTTTAACGTTTAGGGCTTTACTTTATTAAGACATTAAAGAAAAAATTATCAAAGTATCATTTATAGGGCGTAGCGGACACTCCTTAAATATCTTTTAAATACTGGTTAAATACAGAGTGTTTTTTTTAAAGAATGATTATTATACAATGTAATGTTAAAGATTAGTAGGTCTAAATATTATGCGATGAATTATCTCCATTATGTTGTTATCAATGGTTAGTAATTGTACGATTTTTTGCAAAAGAAAGTAAACAGTCTTTGAATGTAAGCGATCTAAAGACGTCTGTATCAAAGTAGGCTTTTCGTCTTAAAGAGTCAAAGGGGCGGAAATTTTGTCCTTTTTTTGATGTCCAGGCTTTAAGGGCTCCATTAAGCTAACGATTAGTTTCACGCAGAAAATATACCGTGCGAGTTTTTCTCTATAATGTTGTGGGTAATGTTTCATCGGAATTAAATGCGAAGACAGTTTTCTTGGCGTTTAAAAATGTACTCGACTAAATAATGGGACCGATTGACTTATTTGATAAACTCAAAGACAAGTACATGTATATGTATACGTATATGTGAAACAAATGACTTGTGTATAAACGTGATCAATCAAATATTTTAGATTACGTATGCGATACATTATACGCTTATTATTAAAAAAGGAAAATTTCTCGAGATTCCAAATCTAATTGATTAATAAACTCAGCCGAAGGCAAAGATTATCCCATGAGATAAAAATTACCTTTGGTTAGATTTTTTGGTTTAGGGTTTATGGTTTTTTTAACGTTCGTTTTTTATTTGGGAACGTGTTTATAGCAGGGGCGGTTTCTTGAAAAATATTAAATTTCCTTTTGTTAATCAACTACGAAATTAAAGGGGTGTATTCACTTAGTGGGTTCCTAATTAAGATATTACTATTTCAGTGGCGTGCCTAGACTAAATCATAGAAATAACCCAAGTAGCACAAAGGTTTTATAAAATCGTCATTTAGTTTACTAGTTTTAGAATGGTCATGTAAGGTTACTGTAAACTCTAGGTATATAATTAGGTTATATAATTGTTTCTACAAACATTTTATATAACCTTTAGTAAACGTTACCAGTAGGTTTATAAAGGAGTTTTATAAAGTTTGCCGTTACCTGTTTTATAAAACTGTTGTGTCTTTAATTTTTTAAATAAAAATTGTGAGTTATTAATTATTTATGTGCTTAATAAACCAAAAATGTTTAGTAATTGAAACAGAAATTAAGCACATAATTTTAATTAAAATTGGTTGAAAAGAAAATATTTAGCATAGAATAAATAAGTAATATAATATTATTAACATAATTATTTTAAAATTGGATTAAATCGAATGTTTAGTGAAATAAATTGATTCCATTGCGTTACCTGAGCGATTAGATGTTTGCCTATCAAAAGTTTTATAACATCACTTGTAGTAACGACAGTTACAGTAACTTTTTTATTTCTGAAGCGATTTTTCTGATTTTTTTTTGCGTTATATTAAAAAAACACTGTATTGAAAATACTGAAAATTTTTTTCATAATCACAACGTATGTGCGTAAACAATAACTAAAAATCTAATACAATAATATCTAGATTGTGACCAATTAAATCTTATTTCTTAGAACCTATTTTCCATTGCCAGTCTTTATTAAAGGCGTATTCATGCTCACTTAAAATAAGAAATAAGAAATAAGAATAAGAAATAAGAAATAAGGAATAAGAAATAAGAAATAAGACCGCGATTGATCGTTCATGCTGATAACATAAGAAATAAAAAATGTTGTCACACAATTATATTTTATTATAGTGGATTATATTGGCTATAAACGTAAACAATCGACAGCGACACTCTACGCGATTTCCAACACCATGGCTCCATGGCCAGCACATAAAACCCATCAAAATAATTCAAAGACCCATTTTGGTTCTTTGCGCAGTTTTATACGCAAGAATAAGAACCAAAGTTAAAATTTGTTAATCTTTATTCTTATTTCTTATTTCTTATTCCTTATTTTCATGAGCATGAACGCAACCATTACTTTACACAGTTTTAACTTTTTATCTTATTTCTTATTTCTTATTCTTATTTCTTATTTCTTATTTTAGTGAGCATGAATGCGCCTTAAGACGTAAACTAGCGTATTTTACTCTGTAAACCTTAAAACGATTTTTTACAACAAAATTAAAAGAATTGCAGTAAAAATGTCAAATGTTTGACCTTTCAAAGTTATATCTGTCATATTTTGACATTTATAACCTCGACAGAAGAATTATTTGACATAACAAACCTTGAACTGTCAAAATCCAAATAAAACCAGCAAAGATATGTTGATTTTGAAAAACGATTGGGCGCCAAAATGTCAAATTTCTGAAGCGATTTTTCTGATTTAAATATTTGGTCTATTTATAGTCAATTTAAACGTATTAAGTATACTTGGGAATAATTTATATCATCTTGGAAACAATCAAACCTGTTAAAAACAATTGTCGTACGCCACTGATTTGGCCCCCATACTGCCACAAAAGGCAAATCTAGTACTCAAGCAAGGTCTAATTATTGTTTTATACTCCAGGGGTTGGTAACATTCCCTCACCCCGTTCAGATATAATTCGTAAAAAGACATATCATTACAACAGTAAAGGGGTGGCATGTTAAATGTATAATTAATCAAATGTTGAGAAAAAATACAGAGTGTTGCAATGATTGGGGGTGGATAAGATTACTTAAGACTCTTAACGCTTACTTTCAGGTCTGGTTTGAAATTTCGCCAGCTTTCCGATGGCAAACACTTGATACAATCGATATACAACGATGAAAATAATTTGGAGGATTGTGAGTACGGTCTTAAAAGAGATCAAGTAAATAAGTTCCTAAACACTTTTAAAGGCGATTTAAAAGTTCTATTAACTACCTCTAACGTTACTGTGCAATCACTGGATGGTTTGCCCCTGCCAGATGAGTTCAACTGGTTGAATTACACGTATTTAAGAAAAAAATGCCAGAAGAAACATCGAGAAATTAAGGAATTGGCTGACAATAGCAGGTGAGTTTTTTCTAGCTATGATATCTCCAATAATAAAAATTGTACAATAATGAAATTTCAGTATGTTGTTAATAGTATATATAACTATATTTATTCCAAATTATAACATTCTATCTTTATTGGTTGCAAAGATATAGCCACTTTTACAAAATGGCGCCCAACGATTCCTAAAACAGCTATAACTCATAAACAATAACATATCGAGGATTAAAATTTTACTAGCATATAAATAATCTTACTCTTTATAAGAGGTCCAAATTTATATCTTTATTTGTTTAGAAGATATAAACAAAAATATAAACAAAAACGAATAATTTATGACGGTTTTGATATAAAAATGCATAGCCTGACCGAACGGTTGATTTATTTCAAGTATTTCATTTAAAAATAATAATCATGCGATATAGAATTAAAGAAACGGTCATTAAACATTCCTTTATTAAGTTTTTTAATGACTTAAACACAATAGTGGCATATTATTTGGTTTTTGTCTCGCACAATGGGGTAAAACATTGTTCAATATGCACAATGGAATTGATTTTTATTTTTGCGTATATCTTGGAGAAAAATGAAGTTATGAGTTTGAAATTTGGTTTGTTTTTGGAGAATGATCATCTGAATAACATACCCAAATTTCATTATTATAGGATTAATATTTTCGGAGATAATCTAGATTTAAATATAAAACCGTTTGGTGTTATACCACCTAAAGTACAAGAGTTAGAGTGCTATAATTCGGTGTGAATATGTCAAAACATAACCTCAAAAACATACTAAAATTTCGAACCACCACCTTTAGTGTTGCGCTTGTTGCAGGCAAAAACGCGATTTCTCCGACTTGCTGAGGATACCCGGCACTAAGTGGTGCGGTAAGGGGTATTCCGCGGACAAATACACGCGTCTAGGGGGATTTTCCCGTACCGATAAGTGCTGCAGGAAGCACGATCTAAATTGTCCGTTTTGGATTGGCGCTTTCGACACGAAGTATGGCCTTTTCAATTGGCGGATGAACACTCTGATGCACTGCGATTGCGATGCCAGGTAATGTTTTTTTGTTTCGTATTTTATACATTTATAACCTTGACAGAAAAATTATTTGACATAACAAACCTTGAACTATCAAAATTCAACTAAAACCAGCAAAGATATGTTAATTTTGAAAAACGATTGGGCGCCAATATGTCAAATTTGTAACTTTTTTATTTCTAAAGCGATTTTTCTGATTTTTTTGCGTTATAGTATAAAAACAGACTATATTGATAATAGTGAAATTTTTTCTTCATATTCGCATCGTATGTGACTTAACAATAATTAAAAAATCTAATACAATAATATTTATATTCTGACCAATTAAATCTTATTTCTTAGAACATCTTTTACATTGACAAGTTTATACTGAGTCTTTATTAAAGCGCGAACTAGCGTATTTTACTCTGTAAACCTTAAAACGATTTTTCACAACAAAATTAAAAGAATCGCAGTAAAAATGTCAAATTTTTTACCTTTCAAGGTTATATCTGTCATATTTTGACATTTATAACATTGACAGAAGAATTATTTGACATAACAAACCTTGAACTATCAAAATCCAACTAAAACAAGCAAAGATATGTTGATTTTAAAAAACGACTGGGCGCCAAAATGTCAAATTTGTAACTTTTTTATTTCTGAAGCGATTTTTTTGATTTTTTTGCAATATAGTAAAAAAAAACACACTGTATTGAAAATACTGAACATTTTTTTCATAATCACAACGTATGTGCGCAAACAATAACTAAAAATCTAAAACAATATATTGTTTATATGTTTAGTTATTGTTATTATAATATCTAGATTGTGACCAATTAAATCTTATTTCTTAGAACATCTTTTCCATTGCCAATTTTATACTGAGTCTTTATTAAGGCGTGAACTAGCGTATTTTACTCTGTAAACCTTAAAACGATTTCTTACAACAAAATTAAAAGAATCGCAATAAAAATGTCAAATTTTTGACCTTTCAAGCTTATATCTGTCATATTTTGACATTTATAACCTTGACAGAATAATTATTTGACATAACAAACCTTGAACTGTCAAAATCCAACTAAAACTAGCAAAGATATGTTGAATTTGTCAAATTTGTAACTTTTTTATTTCTGAAGCGATTTTTCTGATTTTTTTTGTGTTAAAGTAAAAAAAACACACTGTATTGAAAATACTGAAAATTTTATTCATAATCACAACGTATTTGCGTAAACAATAACTAAAAATCTAATACAATAATATGGCAATTTTATACCGAGTCTTTATTAAGGCGTGAACTAGCGTATTTTACTCTGTAAACCTTAAAACGATTTTTCACAACAAAATTAAAAGAATCGCAGTAAAAATGTCAAATTTTTGACCTTTCAAGGTTTTGTCTGTCATATTTTGACATTTATAACCTTGACAGAAGAATTATTTGACATAACAAACCTTGAACTGTCAAAATTCAACTAAAACCAGCAAAGATATCATGGAGCCTACACAAGAAGTCTGAACTGCATGTAAACAAGAATCTTCCTAAGGAAAGTAGGCGCTGGTGTCCCGTTTATTCTGAAACAATTGACTAATTTGTACCGAAACGCTACCAAAAGAGCAGACGTCAGGACGCATCAACAATCAGCGCCGCTGGTGGTAAAAAAAAAAGACTTAATTTGTGCAATTTAGAGGGCAGGTTTTGTCAATTTTCCCTATTAAGTTCGGGCTCCTTGTATAGGCTCCATGAAAGATATGTTGATTTTGAAAAACGATTGGGCGCCAAAATGTCAAATTTGTAACTTTTTTTATTTCTGAAGCGATTTTTTTTATTTTTCTTGCGTTATAGTGAAAAAACACACTGTATTAAAATACTGACATTTTTTTATAATTACAACGTATGTGTGAAAACAATAACTAAAAAACACCCTGTGTAGACACAGGACATGTAAAACAATATATTTTTTTAGTGGTTGTGATGTTAATTTGTCTTTTGCAAATGTGCTATGACTTTAATTATTTCTGCGTGAGACAGGCCGTTCAAATATTCATATGAGTTCGGAGATTTTAAATACTTCCAGTCTGCATAAGATAAATTTTAATTGGTTTAGTTTTTATTTAGTTTATTGCTTTGAGTTTTTGCCTGTACGTCCATATATTTGCTGTTATAAATTATTGAGAAAGCGTAATTTTGCTATAAACTTAACAAATTTATTATTTGTCGCCAAGAAATGTTGGTACAGAACCATGTATTTCGACTTAAATAGACTTATAAACCTTCATAGAATACATAATTTAGTAATAAAGATAATTTTCTATATTTAAGTATTCCATCAAAGTATTATGTAAAAATAAAAGCATAATTTTTTAAATGCCTTATAATAAATTACATCACCTACAAGAATACTAAACGTTTATTTAAATAGTACATACACCACTAATTACAAAATAATAGTACGTTTAAAATTTTCCTCTAACCACCTTAAGAATTCTTCTACAAATATTAACAATAATTACATGCCTATGTAACACGAGTGAGTTTAAACGGTATTTTTTTAAACGCTAAAGTAAACATTACAAAACATCTTGCGTATTTTGCTTTTTGTACAACTTAAAAAATATGCTAAATACATTTTATAATAAATATTTAAATTTATTTGACATCTGTCAAATGTTGACATTTATAACCTTGACAGATGAATTATTTGACATAACAAACCCTGAACTTTCAAAATCCAACTAAAATCAGCAAAGGTATGTTGATTTTGAAAACCGATGGGCGCCAAAATGTCAAATTTGTAACTATTTTATTTCTGAAGCGATTTTTCTGATGTTTTTTGTGTTATAGTGAAAAAACACACTGTATTGACATTTTTTCTTCATAATCACAACGTATGAAAATTAACAATAACTAAAAAATATAATACAATAATATTTAGATTCTGACCAATTAAATTTTACTTTTTAGATCATCTTTTACGTTTTCAATTATATACTGAGTCTTTATTAACGTGTAAACTAGCGTATTTTACTCTGTAAACCTTAAAACGATTTTTCACAACAAAATTAAAAGAATCGCAATAAAAACGGCAAATGTTTGACCTTTCAAGGTTATATCTGTCATATTTTGACATTTATAACCTTGACAGGTGAATTATTTGACATATAAAACCTTGAACTGTCAAAATCCAACTAAAACCAGCAAAAGTATGTTGATTTTGAAAACCGATGGGCACCAAAAGTCAAATTTGTAACTTTTTTGTTTCTGAAGCGACTTTTCTGATTTTTTTTGGTGTTATAGTGAAAAAACACACTGTATTGAAAAATATTTAAAACATTTTTTTAATAATCACGACTGTGCTCCTAAACAATAACTAAAAAGTCTTATACAATAAGATCTAGATTCAAACCAATTAATTCTTATTTCTTGGAACATATGTAATTTTATACCGAGTTTTTATTAAGGCGTGAACTAGCGACGTTGATGTATTAATATTATATTAAAGAAGAAAGAATGGAGAAATATCCGAAATATTTTAATTTTCTTCAATTAAATCTGTAACTTGACACCTTGGCTTTCTTTCTTTCTTTTAGTTAAGTACTTAAGTTTTGTTGTGTTTACAAATTGTTTTAACAAGTGGTCAGGTGCTACAAAACTATTCCATACGATTTTTGTTCTCTATTTTATTCGAATAATATAAAAATAGGTACTCTTATTTTAAACAGCAATAAATTTCAAATGGGTGGTTTACTATACGTTGAAATCTATGATTTGTAGTGCTATGGACTTAATAATAGATTTTCAGAATAAATACTCGAAATTTGAGATTTTGTCGTTGACATTTCGGGCATTCGCCACCTTTTGTTGTTCTAGTGGTTTGTTCAGTAGGGGGTCCCTTTGACCATTCTAACCATTAATTTTACAAATGGGCAGGTGATAGGTAAAAATACCCAAATCTATTTCCAAGTATGGTACCCAAAAAGTGCCGAAAAGAACATCTTTGTGTCTGCATTTGTTGAAAAGACTGCTACTATATATACGGGGTGTTATTTGGATAAACTTTTGTTTCAGTTAGTACGATAGTAACGATTTTTTACATTTTGGCGCCCTACATTCATAAAATCGCTATAATTTCGATGATACCAACCCAACACTGTTGATTCTAAAATTAATAAATACAGCCAACCGATTCCATAAATCAAGTAGGTATCTGTGCTGGTATAAATATTAATTACCCTTATATTAATATCTTGTAAAAAACTTTGATAGATGATGCTTGCACCTATCACCATTTATGGATGATTTATTTGGTACAGAAATGCAAAAAATTTTATCTAGAATTTTACTAATAAAATCATCAAATAAGTTAAAGTTAAAACAAGCAAAAACACCTCACCCTGTAGTTTTAAGACCGTGAATAATTGATTTTGATATTCGTGAAGATAGAAAGCACGAATTTCAACCAGTTTTTTAATTAACAATGAGATAAAATTTTTACTTTTTTTTTCAACATTGATTCTTTACAATTTACGACCAATTTATACCCCTACGTTGCAGTAAATTTAATTTTTATTGGTTCAAATTTTACAATGTGTATCATATGTATATGTATATGTATATGGCTATAAAATATGTTACACTGATTGCGATTGTTATTATTACATTTGCATATAAAATATTTTATGGAGTTATTTTTTGCATTAATTTAAGGTGGATTTGTCCGTTTTTGAAAACATACGATTATTGTATCTTGAAGAGCGTGTTTTCATTACTACGCCCTTAAAATTTTATTAAAATCCTACAAAAATTAAGAAAGTTATAACGATTTAAAAAAACATGTTGATTGTTGAAATTGTTGATTTTAGTGCGATTTTAATAAAATTTTTAGGGTATACCTTTTAATAAAATTTTTAGGGTATACCTACGATAACTTTAAATACTTATACAGTTTTTAACAGAATTATTTTTGTTGATTTTTTTGACGTTTTTGCAAAATTATTGCCATTAAAAATGCTTATTCTTAGGTATACTTAAGTAAATTTTTTTTAATCCTTAAAAATAATTTTAGTCCGATTTTCATAAAATTTTCAGGGTATACCAAAGAAAACGCGATAATTTAAAATAATTAAACAGTTTTTAGCACAATTATTTTTGTAGAAGATACATGGGTTTGAAGTTGCAACGGTGGGCGCCAAAATGTAAAAAACGCATTTTCTCTAACTTGAGCAAATTTTATGAAATATTCGTTATTTAAAATGATTTTTGGACGTTTATGCAAAATTATTGCCAATAAAAATGCTTATTCTTAGGTATACTTAAGTAAATTTTTTTTAATTCTTAAAAATAATTTTAGTCAGATTTTAATGAAATTTTCAGGGTATACCAAAGAAAACGCGATAATTTTCAATAATTAAACAGTTTTTAACGCAATTATTTTTGTAGAAGATACAGGGGTTTGAAATTGTAACGGTGGGCGCCAAAATGTAAAAAACGCATTTTCTCTAACTTGAGCAAATTTTATATTTTATTCGATATTTAAAATGATTTTTTGGACGTTTAGGCAAAAATATTGCCAACAAAAATGCTTATTCTTTCGTGAATAACTTGTCTATTCTATTAACAATGACTTATAGGCCAAAACACAGCGTTATAAAAAACTAATCGAATATTCGCTTTTGTCTACTTATCGCCGATTTCCGGTCGAGCAAATTTCTCGACGCCCCGTCTCACAGAGGGATGAGACACGAAATATCCATACAACACACACACGCATTATGGGTCCCTCTTTTTCCTATGCACTGACTTTGCCGTACTTGCACGCAATACGCGTGGAAAAATTGGTGGGTAATGCCCCATTGGCATGTCTGCATGTTCTTGTTATGTCGATACGAAAAAACAAACGGTGGGCGCCAAAATGTAAAAATCGTAACTCGCTTATTCATAGAGCGATTTTGACGATTTTGACCCCTGTAAATCGTGTTTTTTTTTCGACAGAATTGTCTAAATAAATTGGTCGGGTCCTTATCGCTTTACAAAGCTTTTTTCCGCAAGATCGCTGTCAATTAGTGAACGACTAAAAGCTTTGTGAGAGTTTTTTCGGCTTTTGGTAGAAATCCTGAAAAGAGGCTCGTTACGAACCGATTAATTGGGATATTCGATGTTTTTTTCACTTTAATTGTGGGTTTTAACTTTACAAGTGATTTATCTTTGTATCGGACGACCTTTTTGTTGTTGGACATGAAAATATTAACCATTGACACGAAGATTTTTGATTAATTAATACTTTTACGATTTGTTGAGTTGTGGGAATGTTAAAAGGCATAAATTATTACGTTTCGCGTGTATAGAACGGAGAAAATACAATTAATTATTATTATTATTATTAAGAAACACTGGGGTACACGAAAAAGGGGTCATTCGATGTAACGGGTAAATGATTTGCATGTCTCCCAGTGTTATAAACATAATTGAAATACCTTTTACCAAATTGTTGGTTGCATGAGACCGTTAATGACTTTATAATACAGAAAATCAAATCACATTTAACTTTTCACTCACGGTCCGCCACTGAATCTTAGCTTGTTTATTGTGACAAAAGTCATTAAGTGCCTTAGCGAGTTTTATTCTAATTTTATGAACCATTAGTTCACACTCGATTTAATTGATCTGCGAAATGTATTTATTTTCGTTTCTAATTGCGACGAAGAACCAGTCTTTGGAATCGAAAAGTGTTGCCAGGTGGTTAAGACAGCGCGATGGTAAAACGTATAATATATTTTAAACACCCGAGATATTGTGAATTGGTCGTAAAAATGACCGGTAACACTCGAGACTATCGAACATTGCTGCTGGAGATGTATTTATTGCCTCGATAGCTTACTACCACTCGTTTTGCGATATCCTTAATGGCGGCCGATATTTTCAAATTTCACTTATGGCATTAAAAAGACCGAGGTTTGTTTAGCATACGCTGAAATTTTTATAAAAATCTCCTAAAAAATGACTGAATTACAGCAATTTTTAAAAAAGTGTTAAAAATCGTAACTTTGTTATTTATAGAGGGATTTCCATGATATTTTCAGGGTATACTAAAGAAAACACGCTGATTTTAAATACGCCTTTAGAAAGTGTGTATTTTTTTAGTATACCCTGGAATTTTTTTGAAAATCTCCTAATAAATTACAGCAATTTTTAAAAAAGTTAAGCGCAAATTGTTAAAAATCGCAACTTTGTTATTTATAGAGGGATTTCCATGATATTTCCATGGTATACTAAATAAAACACGCTGATTTTTAATACGCATTTAGAAAGTGCGTATTTTTTTAGTATACCCTGGAATTTTTATGAAAATCTCCTAAAAAATGACGAACTTACAGCAATTTTTAAAAAAGTTAAGCGCAAATTGTTAAAAATCGTAACTTTGTTATTTTGTTTATGTAGAGGGATTTCCATGATATTTTCAGGGTATACTAAAGAAAACACGCTGATTTTAAATACGCCTTTAGAAAGTGCATATTTTTTAGTATACCTGAAATTTTCATGAAAATCTCCTAAAAATGACTGAATTACAGCAATTTTTACAAAAGTTAAGCGCAAAGTGTTAAAAATCGAAACTTTGTTATTTATAGAGGTATTTCCATGATATTTTAGGGTATACTAAAGAAAATACGCTGATTTAAACAACGCCTTTAGAAAGTGCGTATTTTTTTTAGTATACCTTGAAATTTTCAAGAAATTCTCCTAAAAAATTACAGAATTACAGCAATTTTACGATTTTCTTATGAAATATAAATAATATATGTATTTCTTAATATACCTACATAAGTTATGATACACATAAAAAAATAAAAAACACATTAAACGACCCATCCTTTCATATATAAATATATACCTATAGTTAACTAAATGCACTCCAAATATGGTATATTTTAACATAATAAAATTAATATTTTTTAGGTTCAGATCGTGTCTCAAACGAGTTAGAAGTAGTGACGCCAACCTGGTGGGAAAATTATTTTTCAACGTCGTGCAAACCCAGTGCTTTAGGCTGAAGCCGAAAAAAACCTGCGTGAGATCATCTTGGTGGGGAAAATGTAAAAAATTCAAATATTTCAAGCAAGCAATACTAGTTGAGAATCCCTCTTACTGAATATTAAATATTTTTAGGTAAATTATTTTGGGCCGTTTTTTTGTTGCGAATTGCCTATATCAACCGTACATCTTTTAATTTTAATTTGCGTCTTGCGAAAGACCGCGTTTTGTTTAGTATACCCTGAATTTTGTATGAAAATTTCTCTCAAAATGACGAAATTATAGTGATTTTTACTATGGTGGGCGCCAAAATGTAAAAATCATCATTTAGTTGCTTAATGAGCGATTTTAACAAAATTTCGGGGGTTACTTTTAAAGTGTGTATTTTTTTGGTATACCTTAAAATTTTCATGAAAATCTCCTAAAAAATGACGAAATTACAGCAATTTAAAAAAAGTGTTAAAAATCGTAACTTTGTTATTGATAGGGGGATTTTCATGATATTTTTAGGGTATACTAAGAAAAACACGCTGATTTTAAATACGCCTTTAGAAAGTTCATATTTTTTAGTATACCCTGAAATTTTCATGAAAATCCTTTAAAAAATTACGAACTTACAGCAATTTTTAAAAAAGTTAAGCGCAAATTGTTAAAAATCGTAACTTTGTTATTTATAGAGGAATTTCCATGATATTTTCAGGGTATACTAAGGAAAACACGCTGATTTTAAATACGCCTTTAGAAAGTGCGTATTTTTTAGTATACCCTGAAATTTTTATGAAAATCTCCTAATAAATGACGAAATTACAGCAATTTAAAAAAAAGTTAAGCGCAAAGTGTTAAAAATCGTAACTTTGTTATTTATAGGGGGATTTTCATGATATTTTCAGGGTATACTAAAGAAAACACGCTGATTTTAAATACGCATTTAGAAAGTTTGTATTTTTTTAGTATACTCTAAAATTTTCATGAAAATCTCTTAAAAAATGACAAAATTACAGCAATTTAAAAAAAAATTAAGCGCAGTGTTAAAAATCGCAACTTTGTTATTTAAGGAGGGATTTTCATGATATTTTCAGGGTATAACAAAATTTTAATATTTTTACGGGTTTTATAGAGAAAACTTTATAGGCAACTCACAAAAAAATCTGGACTTTTTAGTTTTTTGTGATAAAAATGAATTTTAAAAATTATTTTTTATTTATGTTGGGCATTTTAATGTATTTGTAATTATATGTATATGATTTTTTTAGTATTGAATGTACTTAGATTTATTTATTAATGTATAGAATTATCGTGCCAAAATATTAACATTTTTATTATTTTTTAATATTATTTTATTTTGTATTTAATAAACCCTTGAAAAAATATTATTAAGACAATATGGAGTGACTGATTTTGTAGTCATCTAATTATTTAATTAAAAAAATAAACTAATCTAGCTAGATGTAAAGTTTATTAATTTATACATTTTAATGTAAAATATATCATAATAATTGTAATAAAAATTGTTACATATCACAAAGTGTTTTATTTCACAAAGAAATTATGATTTTGGTGCCTAATTTAATAAAAAACAATGACTATAAAACCAGTTTATTTTATCAAATTTACATTACGACGAATGATTAAAGACCACACAGAATTTAAGAAAATCGTAATAAACACATTTAAAAATAATTTGTAGTTTTAATGACAACCTTATCTTTTGAGTTAATTTATATCATCATAAAAGGCGCCTAAATAATAAAAAAAATATTGCCATTGTAGTCTATGGGTTTTAGAAATTACTTTCACTCACAAACGGCATTCATTGGTCAAATTATAGTAAAGTTATTTATAAATGTCAATCTAAATATAAAGCTGTAGGCATCAAATTTTTAACGTTTTAGCTATTGTTTATTGTTCAACAATTTCCAACGTGTTATTAAGCAAGTTTGTTTTGTTACACTGTTTAAAATATCTGTGGTGTAAAAAGTAATCTTAAAATGGTGTCAAAATCCAACACCAAGTGGTGTTAATATAACACCATGAATTATGGTTGAAAATGTTATATACAGCAAACACCAAAACGGTGTTTATCTAAAAATATTTGAGAAGTGCACCTGCACAGAAAAAAAGGAATACCTAGTTCATTTAACTATATTAATTTAGTTGACCCATAAGTATTTATTTTTGTATTTTTTAAATTTTTATCAACTGTGGGAAGGTTAATATAAAAAAGATTAGTCTGACGGTACTAAACCAGATAGTTATTTTTTTTTAAATTGGTTAAATTAACCCAGAAAACTTTAGTGAAACCAACCCGCTGTATGGTTTACTTTACTAAATATGTTGTTTGTAAAATAAGAGTTACTTCAACCTAAAGCACTCTGTTAAAACGATTAAAACAATTTGCCGTGCATTCCCGGTTGCATAGTGTGTAGTACACACTGTGTACCGATTGCGGCAAAGGCGGAGTGGATCACGTGATGTTCTTAAATCTCACCTCTGTTGACTTACATGAAGAATATATAAGCTCAGGTAGTCCTTTGCTTTGGTGTGACAATACAAGTTGTTCGATACTAAAGAGACCTTAAATAGGTGGAAACAGCTGTCAATACTTGAAGTTTTTTAGTTTGTGGAACGCACTAAAAACATTATCTCTAGCGAGTTGAAGGTTCCATTTTCTGGAATAATACCACTGGTAATATACTAGTAATGCGTCAAGGAACTTCCTGTTTCCTTTTTTCTGTGAAGTATGATATAATTTGACCACAAACACATAATATTTAACACTGAAAAGGAGTTCAATTTACACCAGTTAAAATTTATTTTAATACTGTGTGAAAGTTAAAGTAACACTATTTTAGTATTTGAATTTACACCGGACCAACGAACCCTATTTAACACCATTTTGGTTTGTATCGATATAGACCACGTATGGTGTTAATTTGGTGTTAAAATGGTCATGAAATTTTAAACAGTGTAAAGCAGAACAATAATGCGCCTCATTCTCGGCGACGCCCTAATATGATTTCTTAATGTTGGTTTGCTCAAAAAACACCACAAATTGTTATTTAAACAGGATACGCCTTTGGGGGGCAGAAAAGGCGCTCCTCATGCGTGACGGCGCCCTAGTGGAGGCTCTAGTGTTGGGGATCGAGTTGTTTAACAGGGCCGTCTCTAAGATTGCTCGTATCATGCCCCGTAGTTCTTTATTTTCATTTTGTAGCATTTTAGATTCTTGTTTAGACTCCAAAAAGTCGATGTTCACTTTGTTGTAGGTTTGCCAAAAATTTTCGAGGGACTGCAAGTTGTCAAAACAACTTTTTAAATTATTTTCGTCGAGTTTTTCCACCATCGGAGCCTGTGGTTCAGGTTTTCTGATATCTAAAGATATAATTTTCGTAGGTTTTGATGCAGATGTCTTTGGACGAATTTTACCTTAAAAATGTCATTGTTTACATTGTACACTAGACTGGGCCAAAAAAAGTTATGGTGAAAGTTTGAGTCCATAATATTAATATTAAGAGGTCTATCATCGCAATTTTAGATTTTTTTTCCTGTGCGAGTTTTTGTCTCAGAACTCCAAAACCATTGAGTTTAACAAAATTGACTTAAGAATATTTTTTGAAGAAAATTAAATGCTCTACAAAAAAGGTTTAATTGGAATTTTCCGTCAGATGAACCGTTTTCTTACAATCATGCCTTAAAAATTGGTATAGTTTTACATTTTAATCTTTTAAATTGGAATTTTGTAATTCATGTAAAAATCAGTACCCATAAAAAACCGATAAATATTCTTATGGGAAATCAAATGCTTTACAAAAAAAGCCTCTTAACATTTTTGGCTAAATTCATTCAATCAAAAGTTATTCAAGGTTAAAATTTCGTTTTGACTTCAAATTTAACCTTGAATAACTTTTGATGGAGTGAATTTAGCCAAAAATGATAAAAGACTTTTTTGTAGAGCATTTAATTTCCCATAAGAATATTTATCGGTTTTTTCCGGGTACTGATTTTTACATGAATTACAAAATTCCAAAGTTAAAAGATCAAATTGTAAAACTATACAAATTTTTAAGGCATGATTGTAAGAAAACTGTTCATCTGACGGGAAATTCCAATTTAACCTTTTTTGTAGAACATTCAATTTTCTTAAAAAAATATTCTTAAGTCAAATTTGTTAAACTCAATGGTTTGGGAGTTCTGAGACAAAAACTCGCTCAGGAAAAAAAAATCTAAAATTGCGATGATAGACCTCTTAATATTAATATTATGGACTCAAACTTTCATAATAATTTTTTTTGTCAACCCAAACCTTATTTTTGATATACTTTAAAAAAAAAAATAGTTTTTTTGGCCCAGTCTATTATATAATACTATATAATACCAACCTTTGACTAGGGTTAAGTCTCCAAACTCTTTTAGGTTGATTTTTATCATTGGGGCCCACTTCAAAATTCGCTCCTTCTCAGTTTCAAATTTTTGGCAGGCCTTCACTAAAACCATCAGTTGTTCACCCAAAATTCGATCTTCTTTTACTTTCGCTATAGTTTCCTCCCCTAGAGATGTGCACAGCATCAATTGCGACTTATCTAAAGCTAGATCGGTTTTCAATTTTTGCCTCAGTTTTAGATAGGCATGGTTAAGATCCTCCAATTCACTCGAAAGTATTTTTATTTTTCCTTCCTTTGTCGTGTACAGTTGTTCATACCTCAGGTTCAACCTGTCGATTTCCGACTATAACAAGGCAATGCATTAAAAATCACCCTGTATACAATATACCCAAGTAGAACAACTGGTCAATAAACATTTTTGTTTTTATGTTATATCATCCAAATTATAAAACCCAAATTTCTTAATTTGGTTATAGAAATATTTATATCACTTTTATATACCCCTTAAAGAGCTTATTTTTAATTAAAATTATGAAAAAGCATTGCGTCGAAAGCTAATACTTTGCTTAATTTGTGTTTCAATTACTAAACATTTTTGGTTTATTAAGCTCATAAATAATTAATAACTCACAATTTTTATTTAAACAAATTAAAGACACAATAGTTTTATAAAACAGGTAAACGCAAACTTTATAAATCTACTGGTAACGTTTACTAAAGGTTATATAAAATGTTTGTAGAAACAATTATGACCATTATAAAACTAGTAAAACTAAATGGCTATTTTATAAAACCTTGTTAAACTCTTATATAATTTGACAACTCTTATATAACCTTTATATAATTTATCGTTACCAAAAGTAGTACAAATTGTTTATTGAGTATATAACCAGTTTAGCTACTTGGGTAGGCCCACCTCCTCAATGCCAATCAACTCCTGATTCTTGCCGATCTCCTCCAAACTCTCCTTATCCAAGCATTTCAACTCGACAAAATGCATTCGCCTTAAATCCGTTTGTTCTACGTAAACCCTTATAACTTGCGCTATTTCCTTCCAGAGGGAGCTACTTACAAGTGCCTTGGACGTTTTTAAATCTTTCAATTTCTCGTTAAACTAAAAACGAAACAATGCGACTTAATTGTGTCGATATACTTTCCTAATTTTAATGAGAGGAAATGGCATGACAATCCGTTTGATTTGTTATGCTGTTTTTTTATTGTTTGTTTGTAATTATTTGATCATGTTGTTTTGGTATATAAAGGGTTTATTTGTTTGTTGTGCATAAGTTAACAATGTGGGTGAAAATAGTATTCTTTGTTTCTTGTTTTATAACCATAGAGGTGAGTATGGTTTTACTTATAAATCAGGTTTATTATTTTTTTTATTTAGTCTTTAGATTGTGGGGTTAAAAATAAAGATACCAATGAAATAAATAGGGTTTTGTCTTTGTGCATCAAAAATAATGACACTTTTTCCAAAATACTCGACATTATTTACTCAGATGAATCTTCATCATCTTCATCGGAAGAAACAAGTAAGAATATGGGTAGTTTTTGTAACCTACTAACAACTTCTTTATTATTTAAGTTGATTTGCATCTGGGTAGATCCATACGTTTCAAACGGGACGATATTGATGCAACCACTGAAATACCTGATAATACTACTGAAGAAATCATCACTGAAAATAATGCCACTGAAATATGCGTCATGAAGTGCATATATGAAAGTTTTGGCTTGGTAGGACATAGGTATACAGGGTGACTCATTTAACTTGAAGTTTTGAAATATCTCAGTTAGTATTTTTTTTTCATATTTGTAATAGATGGCGCTGTAATGAAAGAAAATCAATTTTGTTCGATTTTTCTTCTTATACGATTCTGCAATAATTTTTCTATAAAAATATCACTTTTTTTGGTAATAATTATCTTATTAAATTAAATCTCATTTTTTAAGTACCCACGATTTTTTAACTAATATTTAAGTTTCCTTTTATACATTATTTTATTCGGTGATAATTATCAATTGCGCACCATGGTCACTTTTTACCTGCCAGCATTAAATCCTTTAATTTAAAGGATTATTGTACTATTTTTAATAAAAATACCTCATTTAAGGTAAAAAAACATTATTTTGTCAATTAATTAATTTAATCCTAATTGAGGTATAAAAAATGGTATTTAGTTATAAATAATACATATTATGAGGTATAAAGAAACTATTTATACCTACATAGTTTAGCATTATTTAATCAATTTAGTTCGAATATTAATTTGCAAACAAAAAGTCCTCCTTTCGTTAAGCACTTATTCTTAATGGATTTTTTAACAGTGGAAGAAAAAATAGAAATGATTTTGATTTATGGAGAAGCAGGCAGGAATCTTGATGATGCTGTTAATATCTACGCTCAGCGTTTTCCGGAAAAAAATCGATCACGTACCTACTTCATTTCACCGTACAGTCAAGCAGTTTACTACAAACGGGAGTGTTCAACCGAAAAAAAAAGTTCGTCGAGCAAATATGTATTTAATATTGATATTTTGAACACCGACTTTAACTAAAATTTAAAAAATAAATAAATAAATTTAAAAAATAAAACCAAGTATTTTATTCAACAATTATTGGAGAATCGTATACAGAAGTATTCAAAGTTTCAAGTTAAATGACTCACCCTGTATATTTTTTTAATTATAATGATTAATGATTTTTTGTAGCTCGACTCCAATGGTTATATAAATCATGAAAAATTCGTTAAAGGCTTGATTATGGCTACTGAAAGCAAAGAAATGCAAGATTTTTTCCAGGACTCTAGCAATGAGTGTTTTGTAGAACTGGATCAAGGTATTTTCGGGTTTTAGATCCAAATTCGACTTACCAGCAAAACAAAAAACTCGACTATTTTCAATATCATTAAAAACCCTGTATATTTTTTTTAGAATACGATTTAGAGCCGTGCTTATATTCAAACAAACTGTCGCTATGTTTGTCGGAAAAGGGAAAACTCAACTGTGAAGATTGGCCAGTAGGAGATCTCCCCTTCACCTATTAATATCACAACTTTAGCAATAAAATTATTACCAACTGTTTTTCCTCGTTTAATTTCAACATATACCCCTCCCACTGGCGTCTTATATTGGTACTTGCTATGGTACTTTGAGTGTACTTGATGGTTTTCAAAATATTTTCCCGATCTTCCAGGGTTTTTGTGTGGTGTTCAACTTCTTTGTTGTTTTGTTCCACCATACACTCCAGATCTAAATCGTATTGACTATGTAGTTTGTCTATGTATTTGTGTTGTTCCTCCATTATATTTTGTATGTGTGTGGAATGAGCATTGAAATTGTAGGAGTATTGCTCTTCGGCTTCTTCAAGTTCTACCATCAATTTCTCTATGACTCTATTTTTGTATTCATAAATTCTATCCATCCAGTCTTTCATGTGCTAAAAAATACTATGTACTATGCTCCACACCTCAAAGTCCCACCACGTGACCACGTACGGAACGCAGACTTTTGAAAATTTGGCATTTAAGGCTTTTCAGGTTATGTATCTGTCAAAGTATAGTCAATGAAAGAAATAATATTTATAGTGTTACCGCTTATGTTTAAGCGTTAAAAGTTAATAAATCTTTATAGTATCACAATAACAATGGTTGGTTTAAGAATTTAGGAATATAAATACTGCATTTAATGAAATTTCAAAGTGTAAGCTGCAATATAAGTTATATTTTTGTGCATTGGGTCTACATTTCTCCATAAAATAGTTTTAACTAAACAGCATTTATTAAAAAAAATCTAACTTCTCTATTATGAAATAAGAATATCTTTATCAAAGGTAGGTTAATGTATAAGAACAAAAAATATCTAATTTTGTATTTTAAGGTTAGAAAAATCTATTTTGACCAAAATAAATAAGTGGATTATTTGAAAGAGTGTGATAATATGGTCATAAATAAATATAGGTATACTAAATAATTGTTAAATATAGTTCAAAATAAATTAAAGCTTTTATACTTCTAACGACAAAACTTGTGCATACCTCTCGGCATACTCACTTTAAGTTAGATTATAAGAAAACAAACAATTTTTAGAGAAACTTGCAATGTGAAAATATTTAATACCCCATGAAATATGTGATTTATTAAAATTTTTAAAGTTATAATGATTTTTTGATATAGATCAAATTCAGTCGAAGCTTTTTAACTATTTGTATTGACAAAACTTTATGTAGGTACACTTTAAGCTGGATAAGAAAAACTACCACATTTTTAAATACCATATTATACAGTCTTTTAAATAATCCAAAATACTTATTTATTTTGGCCAAAATAAATTTTTCTAACCTTAAAATTGCAAAATTAGATGATATATTTGTTATAATATATTAACCTACCTTTAATACAGATATTCTTATTCCATAATAGAGAAGCTAGATTTTTTTAAATAAATGCTGTTTAGTTAAAATTATTTTATGGAGAAAACCAGATATTTGGACCAAATGCACAAAAATATTACTTATTTGGCACCATACACTTTAGAATTTCATTAAATGCAGTATTTATATTCTTAAATTCTTAAACCATCCATTGTTATACTAATGTTATAAAGATTTATACATTTTTAACGCCTAAACATAATATTATTTCTCTCGTTGTCTATACTTTGACAGATACATAACCTGAAAAGCCTTAAATGCCAAATTTTCAAAAGACTGCGTTCCGTAGGTGGTCACGTGGTGGGACTTTGAGGTGTGGAGCGTAGTACCTAAAAGAAAAAAATATCAAAAAATTTACTTACTTCGACATTTTTGCGCATCTCCCCACACTTGGCTTTGCGTAATATTTGATGCCAATTCTGGTTGATTTTGGCGAGATTCAGTCTTGAAAAACCGTCCTCTTTTTTGATTTTTTTTTTCATGAAGGTCGATATGAGTTGTTCTTTTCGTTTTTTGGCCTCCTCCTCCATATCCGCCTTGTGTTGCAAAAATCTGGCGCGTTCGTCGTCCGACATTTTCGCTAGGCGATTTGCCATGTTTTTTTTCTTTTTTCCGGCCATTTTTCGATGAAACTCCTAAAACACCCACAAGATAAAAGTTATACGTGATACAGTTTGATCAATATAATTTCAAAAGTTTTATCAATATTATAGTTACTTCAATGATTTTAAGTTGGTAATACTTTAATAGGTTGTCACACTGACATTTAAAGCTAAATCATCAAAAATGAATCAAGAATATCAGAAAGTCGAAAACGAAGCTCAAAAGCAGAGATTTTTTAACGTCCTTTTGCAAGTCCTTGATGATTTGGAAATATTGGTACACAAAATAACACTTTCATTTAAACTTTATTATTTTTTTATTATTTAGGCCAAAGTTCCATACATTTTAACCCCAAACTATTTTCATAAATTGCAAAAATTTCTCTGCAAAGATGACCTGGAGTGCATCAAATATTTTTTGGTATCATCTTGTGAGGTTCGAAAAACTACGGTAGGTTTTTTTAATTAAAAGAAAATTCATAAAAAAGATGAACCTTCTTAAGCTAAGTCTTAAATTTGAGCTAGCTATAACAACTTTCTTAAAAATGTCAACTTAAGCTAGCTATAAGTAACTGTTTTAAAAATGTCAATTAAAGCTAGCTATAACTGTCTTAAGAATTTCATATTGGGCTAGCTATAACTGTCTTAAAAACTTCCCTAAGAATGTCACATTAAGCAAGCTATAACTGTTAAGAATTTCAATTAAAGCTAGTTAAAACTGTCTTAAGAATGTCAATTAAAGCTAGCTATAACTGTCTTAAGAATATTATATTACTATAGCTAACTGTCTTAAAAACTTTCTTAATAATGTCAACTTAAGCTAGCTATAACTGTCTTACGAAGTCAATTAAAGCTAGCTAAAACTGTCTTAAGAATGTCAATTAAAGCTAGCTATAACTGTCTTAAAAACTTACTTAAGGATGTCAACTTAAGCTAGCTAGCTAGCTAGATAGCTATAACTGTCTTAAGAAATTCATATTAGGCTAGCTATAACTGTCTTAAAAACTTCCTGAAGAATGTTAACTTAAGCTAGCTATAACTGTCTTAAGAATGTCAATTAAAGGTAGCTTAAACTCTTGAGAATGTCAATTAAAGTTAGCTATAACTGTCCTAAGAATTTCATATTAGGTTAGCTATAACTGTCTTAAAAACTTCCTAAAGAATGTTAACTTAAGCTAGCTATAACTGCCTTAAAAATGTCAAATCTAGCTTTAACTGTCTTAAGAATGTCTTAAGAATTTTATTGGGCTAGCTATAACTGTCTTAAAAACTTCCTGAAGAATGTTAACTTAAGCTAGCTATAACTGTCTTAAGAATGTTAATTAAAGCTATAATATATAAGATTTTCAACAAGCTAGCTATTAATGTCTTAGAAATTTCATATTAGGCTAGCTACAAAAGCTTTCCTTAAGAATGTCAACTAGCTATAACTGTCGTAAGAATGTCAATTAAAGCTATATGAAACTGTCTTAACAATGTAATCTTAAGCCAGCTATAACTGTCTTAAAAATGTAAATTAAAGCTAGCCAAAACTGTCTTAAAAATTCATATTAGGCTAGCTATAACTGTCTTAAAAACTTCCTTAAGAATGTCAACTAGCTATAACTGTCTTAAGAATGTCAAGTTAAGCTATAGCTATAAAATGTCAACTACATTTAAAATACTGTTTTAGGAATTTGGTGCTGCAGATGACAATTCAGCCCACTTCATGTCAATAATAAAAAAGAACAACCCCTTACTGGAGCATATAAGAACACAGCAAAATATGGAGCCCACAGTTTTGCATTTAATAGAATTCATAAATACCGTTTTAGGTTTATTTCAAGATAGATTATCCTTCACTGGCGTCGAAGCTATAGAAATCAATCAAAAATTGCGTGCGGCATACCACAGGAACAAGTTTTACAAGGAGAGGATTGAGTTTTTTACGAAGCAACAGCAAACGCTTGAAGAGGAATTGGGAGGCGTTTTAAGTCAGCAAACGGCAATTCTGGATGGTTGTAAAGTCGAGATTGAAGCTGCGCAAAAGGCGAACAAAAAGTTGATGGAGGAGAAAATGAAGCAAACTTTGAAGATAATGAGCGATCAGACTCAAATCAGCGAAGAAAAGCAGGAGTTTTTGGTGGAAGAATTCGAAACAATCAAGAGCGAATACGATAACCTTCTAATTTCCCATATAGAGATAGAGAAGAAACTGCGAGCCAAACGATCGAAAGCTGAGGCTCAGCTACACTCGTGGATAACGAAGTACGACACCGATATCGGGGACAAACAGGCGGAGTTTGAGAAACTCACGGAACAATACGAAGAGCTGGACAAAATCTACGTCAAACTGGAGGAAGACACCGTCGAACAAGAACCGATATACGAGCAATGCGTTGAAGAAAAGGAGGCAGAACAAGAGGAAGTGCACAATCAATGCTCCATAGTGTTTCTTCTCAATAGATCCGCCAGAAGGATTCAGAGATACTGGAGGTTATACCACTTGAAAGTCAGCAAACGAAGGAAAAAAGCTTAGTGTAAAATGTAGTAAAGACAATAAAATATCGATCAAACATCCGCTGTTTCAATCGACATAGGGCGTAAAGCCGACTGTACCATACAAAAATAGTCAACCTTCTAATAACTGTCTTAAGGATATCAACAAGGACTTAACTGTCTTAAGAATGTCACTTTAAGCTAGGTATAACTGTCATAAAAACCTTCTTAAGAATTTCAACTAAAGCTAGCTAAAACTGTCTTAAGAATGTTAATTTAAGTTATAATATAACTGTTAAGAATTTCAACAAGCTACCTATAAATTTCAAACAAGCTTGTGTACAATGTATGTAATAAAGACCATAAAATATCGATCAAACATACGCTGTTTCAATCGATATGGAACTTAAAGCCGAACGATACCATACAAAAATTACATGAAAATAGTCAACCTTCTAATAACTGGCTTAAGGATATCAACAACTGTCCTAATAATGTCAACCCAAGCTATATGTAACCCTCTTAAGAATGTCAATTTAAGCCAGCTATAACTGACTTTAGAATGATAATTTAAGCTACAATAACTGTCTTAAGAATTTCAACAAGCTAGCTATAAATGTCTTAAGAATTTTATTAGGCCTATAGCTGTCTTAAAAACTTCCTTAAGAATATCAACTTAGGCTAGCTATAACAGTCTGAAAAATGTCAATTATAGCTAGCTAAAACTGTATTAAGATTGTTATTTTAAGCTAGCTATAACTGTCTTAAAAACTTCCTTAAGAATGTCAACTCAAGCTAGCTAAAACTGTCTTAAGAATGTCATTTTTAGCTAGCTATAACTGTTTTAAAAACTTCCTTAAGAATGTAAACTTAAGCTAGCTATAACTGTCTTAAAAATGTCAATTATAGTTAGCTAAAACTGTCTTAAGATTGTCATTTTAATCTAGCTATAACTGTCTTAAAAACTTCAAATGTCAACTTAAGAATGTTAATTTAAGCTACAATATAACTGTCTTAAGAATTTCAACAAGCTAGCTATAAATGCCTTAAGAATTTTATTAGGCTAGCTCAGCCATTCCACGCCACTCGGAAATTTTTGTAGCGTCCGTTACAATAAAACATTGTGAGTAAAACTACCGTAATTATTATGCTTATAAGTTTAAGCCTAATTATTACAATCATAATAAACATGTTTGCAATATTAACTATTGTAACAGTATTTAATTTAATTACGGTAGCTTTTAATCACAATTTTTGATTGTAACGGACGCTACAAAAATTCTCGAGTAGCGTGGAATGGCTGAGCTATAACTGTCTTAAAAACTTCCTTAAGAATGTCAATTTAAGCTAGCTATAACAGTCTTAAAAATGTCAATTAAAGCTATCTAAAACTGTCTTAAGAATGTCATTTTAAGCTAGCTATAACTGTTTTAAAAACTTCCTTAAGAATGTCAACTTAAGCTAGCTATATCAGTCTTAAAAATGTCAATTAAAGCTATCTAAAACTGTCTTAAGAATGTCATTTTAAGCTAGCTATAACCGTTTTTAAAACTCCCTTAGGAATGTCAACTTAAGCTAGCTATAACTGTCTTAAGAATGTTAATTTAAGCTACAATGTAACTGTCTTAAGAATTTCAAAAAGCTAGCTATATATAAATGCCTAAAGAATGCCTAAAGAATTTTGTTAGGCTAACTATAACTGTCTTAAAAACTTCCTTAAGAATGTCTACTTAATCTAGCTATAACTGTATTAGGAATGTTAATTTAAGCTACAATATAACTGTCTTAAGAATTTCAACAAGCTAGCTATAAATGCCTTAAGAATTTTATTAGGCTAGCTATAACTGTCTTAAAAACTTCCTTAAGAATGTCAAATTAAGCTAGCTATAACTGTCTTAAGAATGTTAATTTAATCTTAAGAATTTCAACAAGTTAGCTATAAATGTCAAAAAAAGCTTAGTGTACAATGTATGTAGTAAAGACAATATAATATCGATCAAACATTCGTTGTATCAATCGACATGGAGCGTGAAGCCGAACTCCAAAAAGAACGCCTAAACAATATTTTTAAAGAGTTAATACATGATCTTGAAGTAACCGTGAGTATTTTCTGTTAGCTCCATTACAGTTATCAACATTATTTTTTATTGAAGAGTAAAATCCCGTATGTTCTTCAAGATGAAAACCTTCAATTTTTGAAGAACATTTTGAGTACTGAAGACTACAAGCTATGTTCCAAAGTCTCCAAATGTATTCTGAATAATACAGATATACAGGTAATATTATACATATAATACAACAAAAAATAAACGCTTCTTTCCAGGACATAGAAGCAGCTAAATTCTTACTGATCTTCAAAGAAAATGGAAAAGTGAAAGACCACGTCACCAACCTACTTTGTCCAAAAGAAGACTCTATATGCGAAATTATAGATTTGCTACAGAAAATATTCTCTGACAGACTAAAACTAACAGATCTCGAGGCTCAAAAACTTGAAGATGATTTCGTCAAGGCCTCTGAAATATCGGATAAATACCTCAAGAATATAGAACAGCTCGAGAAAATCTTGGAAAAAGAGAATGAAGTGTTTGAGAGAAATCTTAAAGAGCAAACTCTAAAAGAAGAGGAGTATGACTTGAAAATCAAGACTCTAAAAGATAATTTTGATATGGATGTAAAAAAATTGCTGTATGCATCAAAGAAAGAGTTGGAGGAAAGCACAAAAAGGTACGATGAAGAAGCAGAAGATTTGCAGAAGCAGTACAAATCACTGGAAAGGGAATACGAAAAAATTCGGTCTCTTCACATGAGGGAAGAAAAGGAACTAAGAAAGACCAAGGATAAATTGGAAAAGGATGTTGAAAAAACCATTGAAAGGTTTGATGTTGAGGTTGGAAGTGCCCAAAAGAAATACGAGGATCTCACGGAAGAGTACCAAGAAATAAAAAATTGAAAACCAATCATAATCTTCTTTTTTAGATTCAACTTTGAAACAAAGGAGTTGGAAGATTTGAGGATGAAACTGGATGAACAAAAAATAGAGTATGACGCGTTGATGTTGGAAAAAGAGTTGGAGGAAGAAGAGTACAGGAGAGAGTTGGGGGCACAGTTTTTGCTGAATTATATGGCCCGTAAAATACAGATACACTGGAGGGAATATGTTGCTAGAAAATCGTTAAAGAAAAAAAAGAGAGGGAAAGTAAAGAGTTCGGGGGATAAAAAGTCAGCATAGAGTGTAAAAATTTATTGGTACATTACTTATCTTTTTTTCTTAATGTGGCAGATCTAACTTCCAAAACAATGGGTTTTTCTTTAGTACTGGGCATGAAGGAGTGGGCTCTTCTGACCCTATCGTTATCCCGAAATTGCGGCGAGACTTGAAGCAATTTAGCTTCAAGTAGCTCTTTTTTGTCTTCACTACGCCTTGCTTTCTCTGTAGCCAGCTTCAGTTGCTCATCCAACGCTTCACGTTCCTTTTCCAGCTGAATTAGCCGTGACTTTGCACTCATTAGCTCTTTCTCCTTGTAAATTTGAAGCTCCTCGTACTCCTTTCGCTTCCCCCTTTCCTCCTCCAGCAACTGCTTCTGCTCCTCCTGCAACCTCTCCAACTCCTCCCGCTTCTCCCACTCCTCGGCCAAAACTCGCGCCTGCAACGCCCTGACGATCTCCTCGTCGCGTTTGGCTTGCGTCTCCTCCTCCAAGAGCTTCTCCAGCTTCCCCTTGACCTGCTCCAACTCGCTCAGCTTCATAACGTCCGCCCGCACGACAGCTTCGAGCTCTTTAGCCTGCCCTTCAGCTGCGACCCTCGCGGTGCGTTCCTTTTGAAGCTGCGCCCTCGCGCGTATCATCTCCTGGATTCTGCCTTGTCTTTGCTGGCGGCGTTTCGCAGCTAGCTGCCGCTGGTAGCTGAGCGGGTTGCCGCTGTGGTCCGCCGCGATTTGGAGGGACGATATCCACTGCAAGCGAGTCATGTGATCGGATGTTCCGAGCTCGTAAATGCGATCCGATGTTTGGAGGGATATTTTGAAACCTGCTTTAGCTGCGAGTTTGCTGTTTGGTTCTATGGGGAGTACGCCGCATTTTTCCTTTTCTGAACGCGTTTTGTAGTAGGTGAGTTCTGTTGGTGTTAAAACGAACCAGTATTCGCGCATTGTCGGGAATATGTACCCTTTTTTGGTCATGAAGCCTTTCTTTATGACATCCTCGACGATGGTTTGATACAAGTCTGTTACCGCCTCGTTTATAGCAACGTGGTCTTTGACGCCGTCGAGGCAGCGCGACTCCAAGACGGCTATGAAAGGCGTCAGCCTAAAGCTCCCCATGGACACACTCAAACTTGTAAAGTCGTCGTCATCGAACGTGCAACCTAAGGAGTTGGCTAAGGTTTGCGCGATCTGGAACACCTCGCTGGGGTGGAGCAGAACCTGATAAAAATTCTCGTTGTGCGTGTCGGCTGCCAGCTCGGCTAGCACGCAGAAAATTCGGAATATCTTGAAGATGCCGTCGTCGTTGAAAATGCCGTTCTTGCGGCACAGGTATTTTTTTCTGCACACCAGCCAGCAAACCTCGGCTATTTTGTTTTCGTATCGCTGCAGTTCCGAAGGCGGTGCCTTGTTTGGGAGCGAAGCGAACACCTCATTTTGCAGGTAATACTTAAACTGGTTGAAGTTTAATGTTTGGGTGCTTCTGAAGTGTTCCAAGCCCTTTTCAACCCCGTACAAGTCCAGTAATGTGCCTATATTGGCTGTCAAAACCTAAAACCAAATTTAACAATTTAATTAAAAGATATATTCATTTTTAATACAAATTATATGTCGAATCTACAGCGATTTCTTGATTTTAAAGTAGTTGGGCGCCAATTTGTCAATTTTGCAACCTAAATTTTATTAACGCCATTTTGAAGAGCCCAATTTTTTTATATAAGTACCCTTAAAATATCATTAATTTTAGCGATTTTTTGGTTTTTGAAAAAGGTGGGCGCCAATTTGTCAATTTTGTAACTCGCAGATCTTAAAAATTATTAAATTATAGATATTGAGATACCCTAAAAAATAGTTGATTTTTTGTAAAAATGTTTTTGAGAAAGTCACTTTTGTAACTCCAAAATATTAAAAAATTATTAAATTTCATTCACGCCATTTTGAAAAGCGCATTTTTATTAATATACATTAAAAATGTCGATAATTTTTTATACAAAATGCAAGAGTTACAGACTTTTTCTTATTTTAAAAAAAGTGGGCGCCAATTTGTCAATTTAGCAACTTCTTTATTATTGTATCGATTTTAATGAAATTTCTAGGGTATACTGAACAAATTGGGCCTATTACGATGGAATAATAATATTTCTGACTTATGCGGTTTTAACGGAATTGACAATTAATTGAATAAAAAGTAATAAAAAATAAAAGTCCTTGATATATTAAAAACAACAGAACTGATGTGTCGATAAATGTTTTTAAGAAAGTCACTTTTGTAACTCGAAAATATTAAAAAATTATTAAATTTCATTAACGCCATTTTGAAAAGCGCATTTTATTAATATACATTAAAAATGTCGATAATTTTTCATACAAAATGCAGGAGTTACAGACTTTTTCTTATTTTAAAAAAGTGGGCGCCAATTTGTCAATTTAGCAACTTCTTTATTATTGTATCGATTTTAATGAAATTTCTAGGGTATACTGAACAAATTGGGCCTATTACGATGGAATAATAATATTTCTGACTTATGCGGTTTTAACGCAATTGACAATTAATTGAATAAAAAGTAATAAAAAATAAAAGTCCTTGATATATTAAAAACAACAGAACTGATGTGTCGATAAATGTTTTTGAGAAAGTCACTTTTGTAACTCGAAAAAATTATTAAATTTCATTAACGCCATTTTGAAAAGCGCATTTTTATTAATATACATTAAAAATATCGATAATTTTTGATACAAGATGCAGACTTATTCTTATTTTAAAAAAGTGGGCGCCAATTTGTCAATTTAGCAACTTCTTTATTATTGTATCGATTTTAATGAAATTTCTAGGGTATACTGAACAAATTGGGCCTATTACGATGGAATAATAATATTTTTGACTTATGCGGTTTTAACGGAATTGACAATTAATTGAATAAAAATTAATAAAAAATTAAAGTCCTTGACATATTAAAAACAACAGAACTGATGTGTTACCTGTATAAAAACACTTTTACAAATTACCTTGCGGGCCATATTAGGAAAATCAAAAACATCTGTTAACAAAATCGCGAAAAAATATTTAAAAAACTAATTTTAATTAAATAAAACATTACAAAAAAGTGTAATCGTCTTACCTTTAGTTTACTTTTGTTGACAAAGCCGGGGGTTTCCTGGTGCAGAGCCGCAAATGCCAGCCATACACAATTTGTTATGTTCTCGAGCAAAACTGCCATTTCTTATAACTCGAGAAAACGCGAAAGGAATTCCATCTGTAAACGCGTGAGTCACATAAGTGGTGGTCGACTAGGTCGAATAAATACGAGCACCTGTTTGGTAAACAGCTGATTAAACGAAAAAAATAAAACAGAATGGATTAATTGGTGTTAACGTGAATTAAAACGTAGGGAAGTGAGAGAACAGTGAATATTAGTCATTATTTAGGCCGGCACATCAAATTTGTATCACAAAAGACACGGTTTATATGCAAAAAATTCTCTAAGAATATCATCAAAATATTGTGATTTACAAGAATATTATTACCATATCAGAAATGTTTTCAAATAATTGAGAATTTTTAGGTTTTATAGAAATATTACCAAGTTTAACAAGAATTTCATCAAAATATTGTTATTTGAAGGAATATTATCAACATTTAGGCAATATTCATAAATAAAAAAGAATGTTAAAGTTTTAAGTTAAATTATCAAAATCGTCAAGAATATTATCAAAACTAATAAGAATATTATCAGAAATGTTAAGATTTTAAAGGAATAATATTAGGCTTAACAAGAATTTTATCAAAATATTCTTAAAATTGACAAGAATACTATGTTACAGAAAATAATTGAGAATGTAAAGATTATAAGAAATATAATCTACGTTTCGGAAATATTCATAAATAATGAGAAATGTAAGGGTTTTATGGAAATTTTATCAAGTTTAATGGGTTAAATGCAAAATATTTTTAATTAATTAAATGTTAGTATTTTGAATGAATATTCTTAAAATTAATAAGAATACTATATGTTACAGAAATATTAATAAATATTGAGAAATGTAATGGTTTTTTATTACAATGTTTAACAATTTTTTTCAAATATTTGAGAATGTAAAGATTATAAGAAATATAATTAATATCAACAAGACTATTATCAAAGTTAACAAGAATATTATCTACGTTTCGAAAATATTCATAAATAATGAGAACTGTAAGGGTTTTATGGAAATATTATCAAGTTTAATGGGAATTTTGTCAAAATATTTGTCTTAAGGAATATTAACAAAATTAACAAGAATAGCATCAAAATATTGTGATCTACAAAAATATTATAACAATTCCAGACATTTTTCGAAATAATTGAGAATGTAAGGGTTATAAGGAATGTTAACAAAATCAAGAAAATTATTTTATAAATTATCAAAAATATTATGTGCGTTTTATAAATATTCATAATTAATAAGAAATGTAAAGGTTTTATACGAGTATTATCAAATTTAAGAAGAATACTAGTCATTATATGCAAAAGATTCTCTGAGAATATGTTTAATGAATTAAATGTCTATATTTTGAATGAATATTAATATATAATGAATATTCTTAAAATTAACAAGACAGCTATATCATATTAATAAATATTGAGAAATGTAATGGTTTTTTTATTATTTTTAACAATTTTTTAATCAAAAATATTGGGCTGCTCAAAATTTAGTAATTTTTAAATATTTTTGATTTACAAAAACATTTTTATCAAAAATCAACAATTCAAGAAAAATACGCTTTTTAAAAAGGCGTTGATATCTATAATTTAATATTTATTGAAGATTTGCAAAATTTACAAATTGGCGCCCAACTTTTTTAAACACAAAAAATCGCCTTAACTGCCGCATTTTTATCAAATATTAATGATATTTTTAGGAAATGTAGTTACAGTTACAAATTTGACAACTTGGCGCCAAATTTTTTAAAAACAAAAAATCGAGATTATTAAAAATCCTTTGAAATAAATTATGCTGCATATAAATCCGCGTAATCTTTATCAAATTGCTAAATGAGTCATGAAGGGATTACGTTGAATTTTATCTTATGTTGTTCTGAGGATTTAATAAATAAAACATTTTTTTTATTAATAAATATATTTATTGTTTTTATGTATGTAAATAAAGTCAGTCTAAAATTCTATTCTATTAAAAAAAGTTAGGAAATATTCATTAGAGGCTTATTAAACACCTTACTCTTCATAAGTTTTTTGATTAATTCACTTTTGCTTGATTTTTTAACGTTATTAATACTCTTCAGAGGCATTATTCTAACTTGATCCAAATTCCTGTAAAATTTCAACACGTCCGGGTTGGCCCAAACCTGCCCGGGCCTGAAATCGAGAACCCGCAAGGTCTCCAAACTCTGCGCCCTGCTCAGAGGCCACGTAGGCCTGCCCGGCCTCGAAGACCCTGGACAGGGACATCTCCACGCAATCCAAGGTCAAACCCTGCGACTTGTGAATCGAGAAGGCCCAGGCCAGCTTGAGCGGCACCTGCCGGCGCGTCACGGTACCGCCGTGCGCGGTTTTCACCGCCCACTTCTCGTGCTGCGCGACGTACTCCCGCCTGTTGCGCAGCAAAACCACCGGCAGCCCGTTCTTGAAGTCCTTCACGACCCCCCGCGCGCCGTTCACCAGCCCCAGGCCTACGTTGATGTTCTTCAACAGCATAACCTGCGCCCCCACCTAAAGATGTAAAAAAAAACATGAAAAAAAAACTTTGTTTTTTTCAAAATGAAATTTTAAGTAAAATGTATAAAGTAGAAACCACCAATATATGAACGCGACTCATCGGGTGCCGAACATATCTCAGACATGCTAGCAGTAATGTTTTACTTGTCTTGTACATTCGATGCAGCGGTAAATGTACTCACACGTAGGTTTTTAAGCATCCGATCTAAAATGCGCCATCTGTGATGTAAAACTGCCTAGGTGTTCGACAAAGATGGACATATGACGCGTGTCCTAGCTTGTTACTTATTTTTTTTTTGCAATTCAGTAGAGTTCGTGTTTTAGGCAATTTATTTTATTTTATTACATAGTAAGGCAACCAACTTTACCGTCGGCCATTTGTTTTTATATGTCATATGATCTTTGTTTTTGCATATCGTGTTTCTGCTGTGTGTTTACGGATTAATAATCGTTTTAAACGTTGTAGTGCTAGTGGTTTTTATTGCAATTGTTATTGCATGTTTATTGGACTTTATTGCAATTGTTATTGTACGTTTTTTGGACTTAATAAACGGTGTGTGTTTACGGATTAATAATCGTTTTAAACGTTGTAGTGGCAGTGGTTTATATTATGTAACACAGGTAGATGTCGTATAAAAATCCTTACCTAGAAATTCTAGGCTAGAATACAAAAATATTTTTATTATATAAAATTTGTACTAGTATTAGTTTAATACATTCTGAAGAAGCTACTGTGTCGCGAAACAATTGTCAATATTTAATAAATTTCGTGAAACTAACGCAAGTTGTTTTTATATCCACACAATTTAATTATCTTTCACTTTGTACCTGACCTGCGTAAACATTTTTGTTTTTTGTCACCAATTCTGAAATATTTGCGTTTAAAGTTAAAAGAAAAGTTTATTTATTAATTAGTTTCTAAGAAAATTACATTTTATTAAATTATCGTAGATGTTAATTATTAAAATTTAACTTTAAAAGCAAATATATCAGAAGTATAGCAACCAACATTACACTAATGATTTTTTACAAATATTTATGCCCCCGTTAGAACAGCACTGCAATGGACCGTGACCTTCGATAGATTACTTAGGACGATTGTGCCTGATGAGTCACGATCATATATTCGTGGTTCCTACTTTACTAATTGTCATTTAGTGACTAATTTTAGTCCATGAACTGGACTGGAAACAAATGCATGGCAAATGGGACTAATCTTGAAAAAAAAACCATTTGAAAAAAACAATGAAAAAAACCTGAAAAAAAACGGACCGTTTTTTTTCAAGTCGCATCTCTACCCCCACCTTCAACTCCAGCCTGGACGGCACCGTCGTCTGCTGATCTATGGTTCGCTGAGACCCGGCGACGCTGTCCTGCGCCTCGTACACCTTGGCGGCGCCCTCTAGCGCCGCCAGCTTGGACTCGTTGATCAGGTCGGCGTCTTTGGTGTGCGAGCAGAGGCGCGTCGCCAAAATTCCGTCCTTCTCGATCTTCTGGTTGGCCGTGGCGCATAAAACGTCGGTGACCGTTTTGTCGGCGTTGCCGGTCCTGATGCTGTTGAGGATCGCGATGAACTTTGAGTCGGTTTGGCGGTGCACGCGTTTTAGCTCGTGCGTGGCCAGTCGGCACTCCTCCCACGCCTTGGTTTGGAAGCAAAACCGCGGGGACACTTTGGTACCTTGCCAAAAAATACGGAATATTGTCAAAACCAACGAGAATATCATCATATTTCAGGAATGTTATTAAAATTAATAAGAATATTATCAATGTTTCATAATTAGAAATGTTTAGGTTTTAAGGTTTGTGATTTACAAGAATATTGGAATATTATCAAAATTAACAAGAATATCATCAAAATATTGTGATTTTTATAAATATTTATAAATAATAAGAAATGTAAAGGTTTTATAGGAATATTATCAAATTTAACAAGAATTGCATAAAACTATTGTTATTTGCAGGAATATTATCAACATTTAAGAAATATTTATAAATAATGAAAAATGGTAAAGTTTTAAGGAAAATTATTAAAATTGTCAAGAATATTATCCAAACTATTGAGAATATTATCAGAAATGTAAAGATTTTATAGGAATATTATGAGGTTTAACAAGAATTTCATCAAAATATTCTGATTAAATAGAATATATTCTAAATAATTAGAATATTATTAATGAATATTCTAAAAATTAACAAGAATACAGAAATATTTATAAATAATGAGAAATGTAAAGGTTTTATAAAATATTATCAAGTTTAACGAGAATTTCGTCAAAATATTTGTTTAAAGGAATATTAGCAAAATTACCAAGAATATCATCAAAATGTTGTGATCTACAGGAAAATTATAAAAATTTCAAAAATTATTAAATTAAATATATTAAAGAAATATTATCAAAATCAAGAAGAATATTATCAAAATTAACAAACATATACATGTGCGTTTTATAAATTTTCACAATTAATAAAAAACGTAAAGGTTTTATAGGAATATTATCAAATTTAACAAGAATTTTGTCAAAATAATATGATTTGCAGAAATAATATCAACATTTAAGAAATATTTATAAATAATAAAGAATGTCAAAGTTTTAAGAAATATTATTAAAATCATCAAAAATATCAAAACTAATGAGAATAGTATTGGAAATGTAAAGATTTTATAGGAATATTATCAGTTTTCACAATAATTTCATGAAAACATTAACAAGTTTAAAGGAATATTCTTAAAATTAATATATTCTGATTGAAAACAAAATATTCTATATAATTAGGAATTAATATTAATAAGGAATATTCTTAAAATTACAGATATATTCATAAATATTGAGAAATGTAAAGGTTTTATGGAAATATTATCAAGTTTAACGAGAATTTCGTCAAAATATTGCGATCTACAAGAATATTATAACAATTTCATACATTTTTCTAAATAATTGAGAATATAAGTATATTATCAAAATCAAAAATATTATCAAAATTAACAAAAATATTATATGCATTTTATAAATATTCATAATTAATAAGAAATGTTTATAAATAATGATAAAAGTTTAAATAATATTATCTAAATCGTCAAGAATTTTATCAAAACTAATGAGAAAATTATTAGAAAATTCTTTAATCTTTATTCTATAGGAATATTATGAAGTTTAACAAGAATATCATGAAAATATTCTGATTGAAAGAAATAGAACAATTTCAAAAATTTCTTAATAATTGAGAATGTTAAAGTTATAAGGAATATTATTTTAATAAAAGTGTATTATCAAAATTATCAAGAATAATAAAGTTTTAAGGAATATGTATTATCAAAAAATATCAAGAGTATAAATTTTTTTAAAAATATTCATAATAATTATTAAAAAAAAATATTAAAGTTTACAGGAGTAATATCAACATTTCAAAAATAATTGTAAAAAGTAAAGAATATTATCAAAATAAAAATATTAAAGTTAAACAAAGAATGTTCCAAAGAAGAATATTTTCAAAGATAAAGAATATCACCAAAACCACAGAATATTATCAAAAATTAGACTTACCAGGTGCAGATTTTGTAACAGGAGGCAATTGGAAGAAATCCCCGCACAATATTAACTGTATCCCTCCAAAAGGCTTGTCATTTTTCCTCACATGCCTAGCGACGGGCTTCAATTTTTCTCAAAATAACCCCCCATCAACCATGGAAATCTCGTCAATAATCAAATGCTTGCATCTGCGCCACAAAGTGACGGCAGGGCGGTTTGGAGGCGCAATTACGCACTCTGATATGTGATCGCCTCCCCCAATGCCAGCAAATTGGTGCAGGGTTATACCGCCTATATGACAGGCAGCTACGCCTATAACAATAAAAAACAACAAAATATTATCAGATTTTGGGTATATTGACGGAAAAAATTACCTGTGGAAGCAGTAGCAGTGGTGACATCTGGAGGCAGGGCCCCTATGAACGCACTCTGATATGTG